TATAAAGCTTCACTGCCGAAGGAGAGCGAATAAATAAAACACGGAATCTCTTGAAATATTGAAAAAGTTTTACCCAAACCAAGATCAAGTGCGAAGGCGTGTGGAAGGAGGTGGCGGCGGCAGAGTAAACCGAATGCGAATCCATTTGGCGGTGCACTTCGAGCAGAAGTTGAGTCCGATTCGGGCAGTGTTAAGTTCTCCCACCGCCGGGCAATTGGAAGCTAAGCGAAATAGGGCCGAGGAGTAAAATGAATCCGGACAGAGCTTAAATGGGTGTGGCAATGGGTTCTCCGGGAATGGGGGGTGCCATATCTCCAATGCGGTAAGCCCTGACAAGTACTCGCATATTTGCTGAACACTCAAAACGCGCTCTTACGGCGACAGAAGCCACCTCACAAGGACGTAGGGATAAATATATGCAAAAGGAAGTCAATCGGCGGAAAACTGTAGCTGCCTCACAACCACGTTGGCATGGGAGAGCTCTTATTACACGTGCAGCCGAAATCAGAGAAATCCAAACACATTGACATTGCTTAAGTGCTTTCTCAGAGGCCACAGCAAATACGGAACCTGTATCGCACGGGAAAGATACACCAGCGGACTCCCCTCAATGACAATGGTGTTGTTAACGGGGAAGAATGCCAAACCGAGTGGAAGCCTTGGCAACTAAAATTGGCCAACAATTGCTAAGTCAATCAAGTAATTCGAGTTTTGTATTAATGCTTAGTCTTAATAAATAGAATTTGAATCTTGTTATTTTCGTAAACTTATTGAGTTTAGTTTGATATATAATTTTAGTTTATCAACAGATTAACAGCTACAACTTGAATATGGCGAGTAATAAGCTGGAAAAGAGGGACAAAGAAAGCTCCTGCTTGCATCGTTCGTAACTGAAGCTGAACATAGCGTAATAAATATTAATTTAATTGTTAATAATATTTTGTTCATTTCTTAAAGGCTATAAGCTAAAATATGCAATTAATTAATTAATGATTTTATGTTTAACTTACTTATACGTAACAAAGCTGAAATACCAAAGATAAGGTACATTTTTTGGCTTTAGGTTGTTACTAGTTAGGATGTTGCTGTAGTTGAAGCTTTCATCTTATTTATAATCAATCGCAATGAATACTCGATGCATATGAAAAAATAAATACAAAATTATACAACACGTCAAATAGAAAATAAAACAAAGCAAGCTCTATTTAAATTGGTAAACTCTTACACAAAGACTAAAGACCCGTTTCGATGAAACTATTTAAAGTGCAAGAACCTCTCATTGGAATTCCCGTCAAGTAATCCCTGTTAGCCAGTGTAGACACCCGTAACAAAGGATCTCTATCCAAGTCGAAAGGAGTTGGCACTATCTGCTTCCTTGCCCCCAGCATGTGTGCATGTGTAAGTGGGTCCAGTGTGTGTGTGTGTGTGCGAAGGAACTTCCGCTGTGCTGTTCGTTATGATGGTGTTGGTGATGATGGCGTTGCCATCGCTTCCGCTGCGCTGGCTTAGATAATGCCCCATCTAAGCAGTGGGCACAGCACGTGACGGGGCTGGGAATGGGGATAAGGCTGAGGATGAGGATGGCACCCAGATGCCTGGGACTCCGGTCTGAGATTCCTTGATATCCCTCATCGCAGCTCCACGGGCGATGGCGTTTATTAAGCGCATATAATCGTAAAAAAATTAGCTTGTATGAAATACGCACTGAGACAGCGCAGAAACTTGCGTTTAGCTTGCGGGATACAGCAGGATAAAACGTGACGGAGGACGAGGGATTGGAGCGGTGTGCTTAAAATGCAAATGACATAGAGTGTAGTGTCTTTCCAGGGAGTCGAGTCATCGCTTTGGCTCCATCCACTCCGTCCTTTGCCAAGGATTCACTTAAGCGTTTTGATTAAGCGCCCTGTTTTGCTTTATTCTCGTCATAATTTGAATTAATGACGGAGCTTAGGGCGCAAATTGCTTTGTTTAGCTAGTTTTGAATGGATTAGGTAACCAATGGCAGGATGGAAGCCGTGGCTTGTTATTAAGAAAAGGGTGGCGATCCATTAGGGTCTTGTTACTGAAGGTAGACTGAAGGCCCAGTTAGTGGCTTGGCTTGTTGCTCATTTGTAGTAATTAAAAGCTTACTATCTAGTTTTCCAAAGCGCTTTTCCTGAAACCCGCCTTCATTTCAAAGAAAATAGATTTCAGAAGCTGAAACGAAATCTATATAAATCTTAAATTTGCACAAATAGTTGTCAGCAAGAATCCTGATCCAAACACGTTGGGCTGTGCTAAAACATTGATTTGACATTATATCCAACATGGAGTTTACTTGCCCGTTTTCTATGGCCCGACATGAAGGTAAATGTTTCCTATTCTTGACACAGTTCTTGTACACACACCGAAATCAATATCCGCCAGGAGCTGCCAGTCGTTGCCATTCGCTGCCATCGAGTGTCACACATTTCATTTCCGCCTGTCTACGGGACACGCCCACATATGCAGATTTCCTGTCCCCTCTATCTGCGGGCTCCATCCTTTATTCGCCAAATGTTGCAGGAAGTTGTCCCAAATAGTTGGCTGAAAGGGGGTCTATAGGTTACACTCCTTTGTCGCAGTTTAATGTCCTTTCGAGGTCCTTTCTTCTCGTCCTGCCCCCGTACTTGTATTATATTCTTTGTAGGCAACGTTTGGGCTCATTGAAAAGCTGAGGCTTGAAGCCCGCCAATAAAATGGCTAAAACTTGTAATTGATTGTCTACCGCCAGCGCTTAATTCAGTGCATAGAGAGGGAGAAGTCCAAAGACGGCTGCGAAACAACTGTAGCAAGTAGCTCTGAAAACAATAAATAAGCCAATAAAATTTTAGTGGCACGTAGCATAAAAAGCTTCGGGCAGCAAACAAAGGACAGAGTATGGAGTGGGCTTAAAACAAAAGCCGGGGGAGGACTTGACGTGGTCGGAAGTCGAACTCGGACCCGGAAAAGTCGGAAAACTCGGGCCGAACAGGTTGCGTGAGCCTGTCAGCATAAACATCGCTGCAAAAGGCCCGAGTGGGTGGGCAGATAAAAGCATTACAATACACACAGCTGAAATGTACGAACACAATAACTGGGCTACAATTGTCTGGCTTTGATTCCGCTCTCGGGCTGGGGGTGAGGCCGGAGCCTTGGAGGACTGCCAAAGTGGAAAGTTTTCAATTGCCAGGATTTGTGTCTCCGGGCCACGCCCACACACCTCGGCCTAAGCAGCCGCCACCACTTCAACCTCAACCTCAGCCTCCGGCACTTGTTTACGTACTTCGACGCTCGCTGAGAGCGTATCAATCAACTGGGCCACGGGGCGTATGAACGGGGTCTTGCGGCTGGAGACAAAAGGCATCCATCCCCACGCCATTCCGAATGTCATAACATGCCCCACCGAATGTGTTGTTTTCCAAATTAAATTCAGTTCGGCCTCCAGAATCTAATCAAAGTGCTAGGGCTGCCACCATCAACTACGGGTTCGATTGGAAAATAGCTTTCCGATTTACGAGGGATATGCAAATCTTCATGTAGTTTAGGAGATGCCCATTTCTTGTGGCTCCTTCAAGGACATCGTCTAACATTTCAGAAAATACACTCAGAACAATGGCTTTTATATTCAAGTTTTTTTTTCATGTTTAAATTCAGAGCTGGAACATTGACTTATACAAAAGTTTAGTTTTCTGAAATTTATTTTTGATTTGAGAATTTTTTTTAAATTTTTGAAGGATATAGAGTAGTCGACTCCAGGTGCTCATCTAGCCCCCTAACATCTTTTGGGGTGACTCACGATTTGCCGTGGTTTCTCAGCGGGTTCCATGTGTGGGGGCGCCGTTTAAGCCGCGCCCTTGGCGGACGCTCTCAATCATATCTGATCGAATCACATCTTGCTCCTGGCATCCTCACAATACGTCTCCGGTTAGGTGTGGGCGTCGTCTTGATGACGCATGATTTTTCGGTAGGTGAAAAGGAAGGGATATGTCGAAGGATGTGATGCTGATGCTGATGGGGATGGGGATGAAGGCTATAAATACGCCAACTAGGCGAAGGCTGTCTGGCATTTTTAGCACCCTGTCTCCACACATTTCGCTGCCGGCATATTTTGTGGTTATAAAATTTATTAAGTTTCCCAACTCGGCGGGGGCGATGAGTGGACTGTTGATGGATGATAGATGAAGCTGTTGTCAGATGTCTAACTAATTAAGAGTAGGCGCCAAATGTTTTGCCAGCCAGCGCCCAAAAACCCCAAAACGGCTTCTGTGCAATTTAAAAGAACTTAAAAAGGCATTCAAGCCCCAAAAGAGGCGTTAATCAACGCCCAATCTCGTTTTCGAAACTTTTCTAATTATAAATCTGTGCTCTTGTAATTTACAAGCCAAGGTCCACCCCAAAACCGAAATACTGGAAACGAAAGACGGAATTGCCAAACATTTTTCACGCCTCACTTAATGTTTTTCTTTTTGTACGCTTTTTCCCATTTTCCAAAAAATAGGCTATAAGAATCTGCGCCCTCGGCGAAAACGAGAGCCAGAAATCAACTTCCGTTGTGCAGCGGAAGTGAAATGTGAAATTTGAAATTTATTATTGGCAATGCAAAGAGGCCCAAAGGAAGAGCTAAAATGAAGGTGGAGGGCCCGAGCCAAACAATATTTATGTTATTAAACTGAAATCAATGTGCAATATCCGCTGGCGACTCAATAAATTTAGTTAGCAGAATTCCAGCTGATTGGCACGAAATCTTTTTGGGTCGATTTTTCGGCCGTCTCGTTTCCAATTTATTTGATTGCTTTTGAGTTGTGTTTATTCCATTGTAGCTGTCAAATTGTTTGGAAACGCCACTTAAATTACAATACCATGACCAATCTAGCGTTTCAATCAAATCAAATGAATTATCCACAGATAAATTGGTTTCGTAAAAGGTTTCTTACTTAATATTCTGTATAAAACCGATTAATCTAATTAATATAAATGTTTTCATTCTTCTTCTCTTTCAGCATAAGTAAACAAATCATTTAGCACCAAAATATATTGGCTGCCAGCTAAATTGCCATTCTGTCCTCGCTACTGCCTGGCTTTGACTCCGCTTCTACTTCTTTCCAAGCTTGTGCCCAAACTCAGTCAAGCTGGCGTCGTTCAAGCAGCAAACTAACAACAACACTATTAGCAACTATAATAACAATATAATGTGGAGTAGTACTATATCGCCAACCAACTCTAAGAAACTACTGATCGGAAGCACACGAAGCGTTGATTATGTCGGTGATAGTGCGAGGACAGCAGCAGGCAATAACAAAACAGGAGCAGCAGCAGCAGGAGCCAAAGGATCAAAAGCCAAAGCCACCGCAGCAGCAGCAGCAGCGAACACCACTAAGATCTCAATCGAAATGGAGCTCCATATACAGAATAAGTGCATTTCGGCATAGCGCATCACTCTGGAGGGTGGTGCGGAGCCGCCATGGCTGCAGGGCCCCCTTAAAGCCGCATTTTTGGGGGCTGCTGGGGTCGGCAAAACAAGCATATTACAGGTGAGTTTATTTCTAATCCATAGCTTTCTAGAGAGCAAACCAAAGTGTGAGCAAATCTGAAAAATGCCATATGGTGTCTTAAGATTTAAAATTTCTTTAAAATGTCAGAATGAAAAAGAAAATTCTGAAGAAATTTTACCGATTTTTCAGTCAAGAAAATTCGAATCTGGAGATAGGCTAGCATTAAATATCTTAAAAACAAGAACTTAAAAATTATCCCACATGCATTCGCATTCCTTCGCATTACAGTCGTATTTGTAACATTCATATGCTTGATTTTCAAAGTTCATTTTTTTTTTGTAAGTGTATGCATATGAGGTGATTTCTTATCTATACATTCCTTTGCCCAACATCAAATCCATACCCTTGCTGATAAGGTGTTTCAGGGTGCCAACTTCCAAGGCCTCGGTGGCGCAGTTGGCAGCGCGTAAGTCTCATAATCTTAAGGTCGTGAGTTCGAGCCTCACCCGGGGCACGATTTTTTTCTCTGTATTTTTTGATTCATTTTACGGAATCAAGCAAACATAAAATCATTGGCTTTAAGTGCTTTACATGTTTAAACCCGATTAGGTCAATGTAAATTGAAGGCAACTCTTATTACAAACACTGTCTAAATTGGTTTGTGTCAATTTCAAGGGATCAAAGTGCATCAGCCAAACATCGCATCCTAATTGATGTAATTAATACGGAATCAGCAATGATAATTTAAATGTTTGTTAAGTGCGTTTCAGTTTTGTAATGCAATTAAAATTAATGACTGTAATCATCGTAAATCCAATCCAATCCGATCCAATCGTCAGCAGCATAGAAAGGGTAGATGTTGCCCAGTCGCATTAATTAATTTTTCAATAATAAATTGCATTTTCAATTAACACAATTCCTGATTAAAAGTTTCCCCAATACACACAGACCGGTAAATCCAGGGGGATGATGGATCGCTTCAGAGATGCAAACGCTGCACTTTTCATGCTCCAACTTGGCTTTAAATTATTAATGGGCACCGTGCGACCCCGATGAAAGCTGAAAAGTTTAGGGGCAAACTTTTTAATAGACCAGTCCCATGGCAGCTGGCTTTCATCGTCGATGTTTAGCGCTCCATCTACCTACAAAGCCACCTCCGTCCAGGACCACATCCTTCCTAGTCCTCGCACTCCTTCCCCAAATCTGCTAATTGCATTTGTGTGCGTGTAGGAGCGTCGTTAATTTGATTTGCGCTTCGCATCGTATCTTTTGTGGTTTATCTTTTGTAATTAGACAATGGCAAGGCACAGGGCTGGAATGCCTCATATGTGTTTAGACCCTACCTTTACCAGGGGGTATATTAACAATGTTGGTCACTGCGATGATGAACAAGAACAGTCTGCTTGAGTTTACGATTAAAGCAGCGGCCATTCCTAACTACTTTCTATCTTTTTAGTTTAGGATTAGATCTATCTATCTATGTTTTCAAGCAATGAGATATTAATGCACCTTAAGGATTTAATAATATATATATTAAGACTACCTGAAACTGTCAATTTGATTTACTGACAACTTTAATGCTTTCTAATTAATATGAATTGACAATTTGCATGGAGTCCAAATTGGCTTATTAAAGTGCATTGTAGCTAATTGAAGATGATCGCAATTTATTTATTAAAGTTATTAATTTATTAATCATAGCTGTTTTTAGATTGTAATTTTATTATTTTTCAATTAGCTAACTTAACAATTTTTTGCAGCATTTTAATGGACTTGCGGTACTGAAAAGGCAAAATTCATTGCTATGAAAGAGTTTGAAAATATGGGTTAAAGCTAAATAATTGACAAGTTAAATTAAAATACATGGACGAAGAATTAAAAATGTATTAAAAATGGCTCGTTATACCAAACGTATTGAAACGTTTAATTAAACTCCGCCAATAAACAAAAAAGTTTTCCAATTCAACTGAAACAAAGTAAAATAAATTTGTTTTTGTAGCGGAAAGTGGAAAAGCGAAAGTTCTTGTTTACTCTTCCTTAAAAAACACTTCATTTTTAATAAATAGGATGTCTCGGAATAAACACATATCAGAAGCAGATGCACTAGTCTTTGGATGGGGAAATGTTCAAAAATTATGAATAAAAATCAATAAAGATATTGAAAGCTATTGAAAGCCCGAAAATTTCGAACATAAGAAGATGCTAAATCTGACATTTTATAGCCCGCTCAGCACGCAGCTGTTTTCACGTCGAAACAGCGGAAATTAGTTGCCGAAAGAGTATACTACTCGGCGTGGAAAAACATACACCATACCCCCGCCTTTCACCTCTCGCTCAGCAAATTCAATTAACTGCAGTTGGCAGTTGCGAGTTGGCCGCTTTGCCATTTGCTTTCCCACTGCGCTCTCCATTATTTTCCATACACTTGTTTGTGTGTGTTCTACAGCTGCGTTTCATTTTCACGAATGTGAATGTGCGTGCATTAGCTTTTAGAACCGTTTTCCCACGAACCATCGTCCTTCTCCGAGCTCAGCTGTCCAGCTTCCACCATTTTCCTGGTTTCCCATTGGGCGTTATTTCTTGTATGTAATTCTAGATTTGCGCATTTTTATGGCATTTTAAGCACTGCAAAATCAATTACGTGCTGTTTAATGGCCGTTTGCGGTCAAGCTGGCAAAGGGAACCCGTTAACGGGCTGGGGGAAGGTCTAGCGGGAACATCAAGCATCCCAAATTTTTATCGCCGCGTAAATGTAAAAGGCATGTAAATGAAAAATCAAATCACATAATTGTTATTGCAGAATAAACTTAATCGAGCCATTACGCTGTCTCTATACTTATAGTCCTTTTTCCTTGAGCTTCAGTATAGACTATAGAAGGTATAATACCGATTTTATCTGAGAGCAAAGGGATCCACCAAAAAAAAATTAAAATCAGATCTTTATTTCACAATTTATTACAACAATAAGCCTTTGATCGCGTTTTTTGTAGCTAGAATGGTAGATAATTTTCAATCAAAATTACTTTGAAATTTAATAAAGACCAAAAATTATTAACCGCAAAATACTTGTCATAAACTATCTAAAAAATCACTTTATACTTTTACTTGTATATTTTTTTGTTTTTTCTTTAATATTTCATTTGAAATCGAAAAAAACAATCTTTGGAAAAGATTCCACTAGATTTCAGTCTCGGTCTGTGCTCTTTTCTGTATTTTTTGAGAGATAATATGATTGCATGATATAAGCAAGAATAAACGCCATAGTCGAGTACCGCGACTATAAGATACCCGTTTCTATTTTGCACATTTTTAAAATATTGATTTTGCTAGTTGAAAGTTACAAAGCGCCACCTATTATCAGAGAAAGCAATTTAAGTAACTGATAGTGACGTCACTTTCCATTAGAGGCCTTATGCCCAACATTTCTTCATAAATAGCGAAATAATGTTCCATTTTGAAAAATCTTTGGTAAGTCGATAGATATTGACAAAAATATGTTATACAAGGTCAATCGAAGCCATACACTATAATATTATGGACGCCACAGTTTTCAACGGTTTGTGGGCGTTGAAGTGGGTGTGACCGGATGAAAACTCGTGTTGAGCTGCAGTGGCATCTCTAAAATGCGTATTACAACTTTCTAGCTCTTATAGTTCGCGAAATTTTTGCATTTTTTGTTTCCCGGGTTTTGTGGGCGTTAAAGTAGACGTGGGGCTAGATGGGAAGAAAACGTTCGCATTGTGGGTATCATAAAAAACTCACTATCACCTATAGTTACCGAGATATCAGCTTTTCTAGACAACGCAAAAACCGTCTTTCGGTGGGCGTAAGAGTGGGTGTGGCCAGATAATGGTACCACCATAAGATGCGCTGGCATCTCAAGATTATACATACATAATTTTAACTTTCCAGCTCTAATAGCGCTGCTCAGGGACCTCAAGAATCTTATAGTTCCTGAGATCTCAGCGTTCATACGGACGGACAGACGGAAATGAGTCAATCGACTTCGCTATTGATCCTGATTAAGAATATATATATATATACTTTATAGGGTCGGAAACGCTTCCTTCTACCTGTTACATACTTTTCAACGAATCTAGTATACCCTTTTATTCTACGAGTAAAGGGTATAAAAACAGATAACAGTTCCTCCGTTTTGAAAATAAAGTGCTACCAGTATGTACACTTTTAATGGCGTCATCCGTCCAAGCCATTAACTCCCTCATAACTTCTTAAGTAACAGTCCGATATGAAAACTAATTTATTCCTATTCCGGCAAAAAGGCTGGACTTTTATCGCATTTATCTGGGTGCTGCCGACTTCTAATGTCTGTGGGCATATCCAAATTTTGAAACGAACATACAAACATACTTAACTCAAACTATATGATTTAGAAGTGTGTAGCTTTCGTCCTGGACTTAACTCAACTCAAAATCTCCTCTGGCTTAAATGGATGGCAACATTTTCAAATAAGATGTACTAATTCCGGCAGATAAAAGAGAGAAATAAAACGCAGTGCATCATATCAATAAAGAGTACGCCATGAATATCTATTTGGGTAAATTTGGAAAAGCTGCTGGGATCCCCGGCGTGCTTATTTATGTGGCAGATAATGTACCGCATTTTATGGGACAGCAAGAAGCATAAAGAGGCGCAAAGCCGGCCATGACAACGACCCGGAGCACGGAGCAAGAAGCCCGGAGCACGGAGCACGGAGCACGGAACACGAAACTGGAAACTGGGAAATGGAAACAGGACCTGGAGACCACGGAGCAGACCATCAATGTCATTTCTTATTCAATTACCAGTTCAATAAAAATAAAACTCAATGATATGCGGCGCTGAAACATAAAAGCGATGCGATGTGAATCGATGTCATGCCAAGCGCTGCGATCTGACCCCTTTTCCACGCCCCTGCACGCCACACCGCCCACGTTTTCCCTGGAGAAAGTGTCTGTGTGTGTGCAGCATATAATTTAAAAAAGTCCTCGCTAAAGTCATTCCCCCCTTTAGGCCAACCAGCGGTGGCGTCCTCGCTTCCCTAATGCGGCCACTTCCGCTTCCGGTGGTTGGCCTTGGTGGTTCCTTTTCGGCGCTCGTAATTGAATATAGTGCGCATAAATTGCATCTGATTTCATTGCAATGACAACAATGGGTGTGCTGATTGGCAAAAAAGATTTGAATTTATATTAGACGAGTGGTAAGGGGACCCAAATTTTCACTTCACTTCATTATTAGCCAAAATCATCATCATCACAGAACAGATAATATAGCTTTATTGCAGGAGTATCCAATTTGTGTACTTTTGACTAAAATTTAATATTCGATCAATTTATGAAAACATTCTGTTTTTGAAAATGTCAAACTTAAGATCAAACAAACCAATTATAGTTAAAAAGTATTATAGAAAGTATTTTAAGCTTTTTGATATTTTCTTAGATCTTTCAATAACCAGCCAACTCAACAAATAACTTAATTGTTTTATCTATGGAAAAAAGAACTCTCAGTGTACATAAAACATTTAATGTGACAATTTTCCGGATATAAATCATGCAATTAGGCTATTTTTTCAAAGTGAGCATACAATCACCAAAATCATGAATAGGATATCTATTCGATGGCTTCTTGAGGCGACAGGGCATCACTTTAGAATGCAATCAGGCGTTAAATATCCTTTGAGCCTGTCACTCATCCTGCTCATGCATTGATACCCAGTCCGAGTCCCACACCCAACAGGCCACAATCCCAATCTCACCCAAGCCATCACCATTTCCCCTCTTTGATTATCATTTTTCTTCTTTACAAACTGTATTTTATGTATCCGCCGGCCTTGGCTTTATTTTTAGGACTCTGCGATTCGCTTTGGCGACTCCGTCTCCTTGGTCCCGGGCCCCAGAGTAAAGACCCAATAAGAGAGTGAACGCTGCGGGTTAATGGGGTCATTTCGACCACGGCGCAGAGTGAAATCCAAAAAAGTCCCGCGTGTGCATTATGAGCTTTGGATTAGAGATATCGCTCGTTACTGAAGCTTAAAAGAGCTAGTGAAGCGCAGCAATAGGGATCTAAAAATTTATTAACAAATTAAACTGAAAGTTGAGGATTACGTGGTCTTGATTGAAAAGTGCGTTGTGTTTATTGAAGAAAAATAATATGTAAAGCCTTGGAAAAATTAAATAGATGATAATTAGGTGAAACTTTACCTTTATAGTCAATTTTGGGGAATAACCGCTGTTTTTAAGGTTATGTTTAAGCTTAAAACTGCCCTGGTACAGGTAATACAGAAACATATTTAATTCCATTTCTTTAAACCCAATCCTACGCTCCGTTGCACATATAGCTCATATAACCATTACCCAGCGAATCGTGTGCAGTTTATTTTCCGTTTTTAGTACATTTTATGATTACACGAGAGAACGTAAAATCTAAAGCATACATTTAAGCGCTTACAATTTTAATAAGCTAAAAATGTCCATGATATATGTGTGGCTGTTTGTGAGATTTAGTCGGCCAAAGGACCTCATGCAAAAGCTCAGAGCGAATATTTAAAATGTTTGCTCAACATAGAAAACGAAAAAAAAACTAAGAAGCTAGAACAGAGCAAAAGAAAAAGAAAAATATTAGCTTGGTTGGGCGGGGTTTTTATGAAGTGAAATGGTTCGCCAATGGAAAATTAATTTTAATATTCATTGGCCTGCCACGGTCGCCAGGGCAATATTTTACAATCATAATAATATTTAATTTCCGACAACATGTAACTGACTCTGCTCTTTCGGGCTTATTTACAGCAATTTTTCTACCATGACTTTCCCAGGACTCATCAGACGACAACGCATCGCAAGATTTATAAAAACTGTCTGGTCTGCGACACCTGCATACGTGAGCTGATGGTACTGGACGTTCCACCCCAGGTGAGTTAGCACCTGCCGCCTGCCGCCTGTCACATGGCAGCCCTAAGCCCGCAATAAATCCACCCCAGACACAGCCCTTGCCACATTTTCTAACTTTCCATAATTTAGTTAAAAGTTTTACCACTGTCAGAGCGCGGTTGTAGTTAGGAATTTTGTAAAAATATGTACAAACTATTTTTATGCAATTTTCCAGTAAATTTCATGGTGCTGATATATTAGAAAACTCCCCCATCCCTGCCCCAGCCCGCTGGCCATAATAAATTGCTTAATAATTTAAATTGCCCCGCAGATCCATAGCCCTAACCAGTTGCAATCTGCCGCCTGTCCTCGTCCTGCATAAATATTAACCCGAAGACACTTTAAGTCCTCCTGCGATGTTTTCTTGTTACTGAGCCTGCTGTCGGTGCCGTCGGTGTCTAGACACGAACTGGTACCTTCTGCATTTTCATTACGAGCTGAACAGTTTTTCTCCCATATTTCAAATCGTATACCCTATCAGAGAGTTTTATAGAGAAGTGTATAATATATCGCAAGGTGTTAAGTAAGTGTTATTCTGTGTCTATGTATTTATAGATCAATCAACAGAATTTGAAGAAAAAAATCCATAAGTTTTTAAACACAATAAGCAGCTCAAAGTTTTCTGTTAACTATTTAAATTGTCTAAAGCCTAAAGAGTATAAAGGCTTCGGATTGCAAAAGTACGCTATTTTGTTTTTAATAATCACCGCACCAGAAGCGCCCTGAGCAACAGATTACAACAACGCAGAAAAGAGCAACCACAACACCAAACGATGTTGCCCCGGGAAAACTTTCTTGTGGGTTACATTTTTACGTTATTTGGTATTTTTGCATAACACTTTAGGCATGGAAAGAATGTTCATCGAACGGCTGCACAACTTTTTAATCTGAACACTCGATTTCATTTTTTATCAGAAACATCAGGAAAGGAAACGCAAGAAAAAAGATAACGAATATTAAACGGATAACTACCACAAGCCCATGATTGTACATTCAGTAATAATTTTACAAACAATACCTATGTTGTAGAAAGTAATATAATATTTGAAAAGGAGTACCTTAATCTAATTGCAGGAAAATGCACCGAATTAGCCTGAAAACAGGGTTTTATTCCGGGCATTACCTCTACCTTATAGACATCAAATATTTCAGCAAACTTTCACCCTTCAACTTAGCCGAGCTGTTGACTTTATTAAAGACCCAACTTGCGCTCATAAAAATGGTAGCCAGAATACATTTAGCGTTTTCCAGTCAAGAATACCCAGGTAAATTGCAGTCAACCTTTATGTGTAGTTGGATATTATCAATTTTTAACTACTTCGTGTTGCCAAATGGTTGCAGAACAACAATATTACCCAATTATGGCTGGCCATAAAGTTTGTAAATATTTTCGTCCGTTTATCTTGTGAGCACAGTTGGCTACTCTATAAAAAATATCCATGTCTGGGACTCCCCATTTTCCTGTTTATGCTTTCAACTTTCTTTCTGTTGCTCTCAGGACTTGGCAGTAGACTTCGGCAATTAGGCAGTAGTTTTGTCAGACCACAAATCACAAACTGACACCGAAAATGTTGAAAGGATGCCACAGCCACTGCCTGCACTGTCTTACATCTCACTATTCGGACATCCTTCCATACCCCTGCTTTTTGTCTTGCGGTCTGCCACGTTTAACTATCATAAAATATTTATGGAACACACTCCGAACAAGGCCAGTTGCTGTTTGGTTTCCCCCTTGGCCTTCTGCGATATGCAAAGTTTGAGATATGAAATTGGATTTTTTGGCGCTTTTGAAGGATATAGTAGCCTTGGAAAGGAAATCATCCAAACAAAATGCATTCAACATCTCCTATATTGCTTATAATTGATTTTGAAAGGTGTTATTCATCCTCTAATAAGATATTTTTCAAAATAAAGTTTTTAATTCTGTGAAGTGGTGTATAATTTTTACCAATTATAAACATTAGAAGCGTAGTGTAACGCTAGGCAAACTAAGCAATATAGCAGCTTTCGTCTCTACCTTCAGCGGTTAAGGCAGATGCTCCTTTGTTCCATGGCTGAATAAATTTAGAGCAGCCGTTGATCTGGCGAATCGGGAACTGGGCCAAGTGTGTGCCAAAGGATACGGTTAAAGGACGATTCTGTGGCTGCGCCATGGACAGCCAAGGATATCCAGGCCTGCGGCAACCGCACCGATACCCAACCCCTGCCACACGAATTGCCCCAGATGGGGAGGTGCAGCAGGAGGAATTGAAATGGCAAGCGAACCAAAAGAGTTGACAAGCAACAAAAAGCAGTTGGCAGTCGGGCAGTCAGCCAACCACATCCATTGTCATATTAACTACGTGCCGAGCGACCCGAACCGCCCCCCTTCGACAGTGCCACCTCTCAATGCTTTTCAACTTATTCATGTCCATTTTGGCGTGAATTTGTTTTCGAGTACGGCTTTTTCCCCTGTACCCGCCCGCTTTATTATACTCTTTGTTGTCCACCCATTGTGCTGACCAAATGGCTGTTGTCTAAAAGCGGGCCAACAGGGTTTTTTATTTGGGGATGGGGCCCACAGGTTGGGAGTGCTGTCGCCTGTTTATTGTGGTAAATTTTTCATCGTCAAGTGCACTGCCTGGCAGTCATAACTCAAAGTCCACCTTAATGGTTTCCACTTGTACAAACAGCATTTATTTTCCAACAGATTTTCGCTCATACACACGTTCAGGGGGAAAAGCGGAAGCAGATGTTGCTTTCTGGGTGTGTGTGTGTGTGAACAGGAGGCCATTTAGTTGGCCATTGTTTCCTCAAAGTGACCGCCGCTGCTTAAAGCTACTTGAAATGACAATCTGAGGGACAGGACTCAATGACCTGGACTAACAGGCTCCGCAATAAGCTGAAATTGACTTTAAAAATATCTCAGTTGATCGATTCTTTTTTTGTGTAATTTGCCAGATAGTTTAACTTACAATACACATTATATTTTAACCGAATATATTTATTATGATTTTTATTCTATTAATTATTAGAAAAATTAATTGTAAATAATATTCCCGAAACTTGTTCATGGGAAAATGACTCATATCCTAAAAATCTGCAAAAGCAAAAAGGCAAATGTGTACCCTCTGTTATTACTAGATAAGACCCAAAGCAAACATTTTGCTTAAGTTTTTGCTCTGCTTTCCTTGCGGACTTCTGATGATAAAAAAAGAAAAATACCAAATATATACCAAATACCAAATTATTATAATTTCTTCTAGGTAATTCCAAATATTATTAAGGCTTATCAAGAACTATACCTTTTACCTCGTATTTCTTAAGATAATATTTTATCGATCCACAAATGGCAAAACCAAAATAATCTGACTGACCTAGATGTTCTGATTGGAAAAATCGAGTCAGGGCGCCAACCAGACTTCAAGAGTTCAGCTCATTAGCTCAATACCTTCCAAATTCCTTATGTGTCCCATCCATCTCGGCTCAAATCCGAGGCGGTAACAATGCTGCAATTACAACAATTACAACCGGGCCAGCAGACATTGAGAATCTTGGCTAAGGAGCTGCTCGCATTTCCAGCCAGCTGGCAGCCCGTTAATTAACAAAGCAACAATAATCACAACAGAGCGGCGGGGGAAGCGCAAATTAAATGAAATTTAATCAAAAACGTAAATCTAGCTAAGTTAGTGCCCGACGGGAGTGGCGTCGACTGTCTGCCAGCCAGAATGACACAATACCCGACCAGAAACCAGAAACAGAGGCAGAAGCAGGAATAGGAAAATACAGGGCAGGGCAAGAATTCGCGAAGGGGATGAAACGACCAAGAGACCAAGGAGCGGGTGAGCTGGAGAACTGACAGGCCGAAGGACCAGACGCAAAGGCGCCAAGGAATGCGGACCCTTGAGCTGTCCATTCGTGTTCGGGGTCAGGAGTTGAGGGGAGGCATCTAAGCTAAGGGTCTAGTGTTGTCAGCTGATGTTATTAAAAAAGTGACCAAATTCTGCATTCTCTAAAAGTATTTTGGAGTAATTTGAACATAGAATTTTATATTTTTTAAAATTTGTTTTATTGTTAAAAATTGTATTTTATAGTTGTCGAGGAGTATCATTCTTTTGCACTTTTTCCATTTAAATCAGGATCTACTATACCAAATAAATTAATTCTATTAATTTTTATCCTTTTTAAATTTGTTTCTTTGGTTTAAATAACATAAAAGCAATGTTTCATAAATATAAAACAGATCTTAACAAAGCGTGAAATTGTATCTTTGGATTATTTTAGCCTCACAAATCAATGACTTAAAAAATCTTCTTCATAAATTCTATCTGTCGTTTTGGCAGAAAACGGCTAGACTGACATCTCTGGTTCTCCGCTGTTTGTTCCTCCAAAATGTCTCGACTCGTATTCTTGTCTAGGCGGCCTTTGACTTTTGTTTGTGCCTAAAATACTGCGACGTAAATTTAATTATAACGTTTACTTACTGTCTTACTGCGGGCAGCACACTTTCAGTTTCCATTTCCTTTTCTGGTCATTAGTGTTTGGACGTGGGAAAGCTGTGGCCACCTGCCTGTGGTGGAAAATTGCCTGCTGATTTGCCTTTCGACGACTCTGTGCTTAAAAAGGTCAGCAGTTGAGATGCTCAGGGATTGATTTATGGCATTGACGCAAAAAAAATCTCTCAAAATAATCGACAATAAGTGTGGAAGTATATAAACGACCTCTGTTTTTGAAACTTACTTTTTGCTGCCTGTACTCTGAAGGTGTTGCTGAAAAGACATACATATGTAGTATAAGTATCAGCAGGCAAATCGGTGTAGTGTAATCTGAAATAGGAAACTTCTGAAGCCTTCTTTTTAGTATGAAATCGAGTTATTTGATTTAAATCATTGAATTCTGCCATTCCTGCCTTATATTAGTTGTTAAAGTGGCAATATGCCTCATCGTTCGACTGTCATGGATGTACATCGGAATTTCTCTAATTTAGACGGTGGAGGAGTGTTTTTAAAATAATCCGCATATAGACAGAAATTACTTAGCACTCAAATGATATATAAAAATGTTCTTTAAAAGTGTTCAATAAAATTGTAGGTTAGGAATTATTTTTTTCTTTATTTGCCCCTCGATGTTGTCTTGGCAACACAGTTTACTGCACTAATTGAGCAACAATTAATTACTGACAACGCTCGCCACAGCCACCGTAAATGCATCAACTGCTGTCCATTATCCTGAAGTGTAACTGCCATGGTCTACGGCCATTGTGGGAGCAGCTTTGTCCCTTGAATGTCTACAGCGACAACAAAGTTTCAGCAGCATTTAATAAATGGGGAATGGAAATTCAGCTCACGGGAAGGCGGGTGAATAAGTGAATCCTATTACTGATGCAGCAGTGAGCTCGAGCAAATAATGCGACTACTGTGGGCAGTAAAGATTGCTCCACCCGCAAGAGTGGTCAACTAAGTCCTAAATAAATAAAATGAGGATGGCGAAGGGAAAGCTGAATTTCAGTACAGTTTGCAGCTTGCTCTAGACAAATTCTCAGACTCTCAAACTAAAGTGGTTGAATTAATGACTGAACTTTGCTAAATTTCAATCCCAGAAACTTTAAAATTCGTTCAGTGGCATACCTTTTGATCTGAAAGAGAAACATTTGTTAAATTATATCAGAAATGTCTTTCAAATTGACATTCTCACATTGTTTCTAAAACTGATTAAAATCAATTCAGCAGCTTATTTGTTGCTTCAATTGATTGAATGTAATCCAACCTAAAATCCAATCAAAATATGCGCATCGGAGACAACAGCATTTACCCTGCTGTGATGGAACAAAGGCGATGATGACCCATGAACAATAACACTATGTAGGCGACAGATTTGCACATCGAAATAAAGAACAAGAACATTTCCATATTTATGCCATATTCCAGTTGAGAACCGCCATTAAACGCCATAAACTCTTTTCCGTTTCCATATTTGCTTTTCATACTCATGCCAAAATAATGCGATACGAAAACACAACTCAACCGACCGTGTGGACATATGTGGGTGTTTGTTTGTTTGTTTAACTGTTTGTTTGCGGAAATATGCTGATGAAAAACAAACACTCGACCAATTGGCATGGCAATCCCGCCAGAAGCGATTTCCGGCTGACAACTTCGCCGAATGGAACAACGGACATCCGCTGGGGCTGCGAACGGTGCACGCCTATGTCTTAGTCTACGACATGGGAAATTTGGAAACCTTTCAGGTGAGATCCGCCATTTGATCGATCTTATAAGACCGACTTAGCCCCCACTCAATTCCAGTACTGCCGCTCGATGAGAGATCAAATCTTGGACAGTTTCAGTCATCGTGATTTTAGCATAATTGTGGTCGGCAATAAATTTGACAATGTGACTGAGGCGCAGGCCAACTCGCAGGTGAGTGCATCTCTCTCTCTCTTTACCAATTTTTTTAAAATGAAATACAAATGATATATTTAGGTAGAAAGAAATTATTAAGATTAAAATCTTGCCCTAAAAAGTTCAAAAAGCAAATCTCTTACTCCAAAAAAGTCCGGAAAAAGTTTTAAATTTACAGAGTAACTGGAGATAAGCCGAATTCGAATTTAGTTGAGGAGAGTTAAGAAGGCAACTAAAGTCGGTTCGGGTTGAAGGTGTATATAGGCAATGTGTTAATTCTTATGCAAGGGAACAGAAACTATAGACTAGTTAAGCCGAAAGAACGATGAGCTAGGCCATTCATAGCCCGCAGTTATTAGTATTCAGCAGATTTTCACTCAATATTGAATCTTTTCTATTATCGCAAATCCACACATTCTGGCGGCGGCCTGGCAGGAGCTCAAGGATATTTCCACGCTGGTGCGCAAACATTGGCGCTGCGGCTACGTCGAGTGCTCGGCGCAGTGAGTAATCAATAGACCATCTGTCATGCGAGATGTATGCCTGAGGACTAACAGGGGGCTTCCCATCTTTTGGGGTCTTCCGCAGATATAACTACAAAATCGGCGACGTTTTCCGTGAGCTGATGGGCTGCACCAGCACGGGAGGAGGAGGTGGCGCCGGCGGTGGCGTGCCCGGGGTCGGTGGCCTGGTTGGCACTGAGTACTCACAATCAACTAGGAATAAAGGACGCTGTACAATACTTTAGCAAATGTTGCATAAGTTTTTTAAGCAAACGCTCTGATCTGGCGCATTATATCCGAGTGAATTCTTTGCGACAAGCAGCTGCTGCAGCTGGGACAAGGTGGCGTATACGCAATTTCCATGGAGGACACACAAAAACGACATTGTTGCCCCTTGCCAATGCTTGCTGATGCATATTTTAACATATATTTTTAGTGGCCACACTCTGTACTCCCGAGTCCCCACCACCCCCTTTGCCATTATTACTACATTTTTCTGGCTGCTTTTATGGGCGCTTTCTGCTGTGCTCATTTAAATGGCAGTGGGACCGCCGAACAGAGGATACGTTTGGCCAGCGGCAAAGGCACCCAGATTCCGATCCTTGCTAACAACTTTTGAACGTCCGCATTTGCAATTCAATGCTGTAAGCTGGCAGGAAGTGTAGTTGCCATGAATATGCAGCGATATCCGCAAAGTGCAGCAACAATTGCCGGCGAGAAAGTTTTATTCTTTGCGGTTATTATTATTGACGTTGTGGTTATTATTTCTGTCGTGGAACGTAAATAGGCAATTAATCCCACCATAATTTACAATACACTTTATGTACGAACGAATAACCTTGTTATCGAAACAACCCGAAATCGTTTAGGTACTTAAGTAGTCATCCTAAGCTATACACATAAATTAAACATACTTTAACGTTGTGATCATTTCAAGAATTAGTTCTTAAGGCACAAAACAGACAGAACGTCAGTTCATGTCAAGTAAAGTCAAGTCTCCGAAACTGAATTACCAGAAATACTTAGTACTAAGACAAAATACGAAATAAGAGCAATTTAAAAAATAGCCATACGTATTAAGGAAAGCGACCGATGGTGGTAAAATCAAAGAGTTACAATCACTCCATCAAAATCCCCAATAGGTTTGCTGCACATCCGTGAAATTGTACACCCTTCAGAGGGCATTTTCATAAGCGGCACGTTTTGTTCATGCAATCTAAAATCAAATCAATGCAATAGAATTTAAATCAATTATCGTGTTTATAAAATATTAAAAAACCAAGTAAGTTATTCATTTTTGTCGTGAAGCAGTCGTGATCAAGAAGCCTTAAGAACCCAGAAGCAAATATTTCATAGTAAACCTTAGATTTAACTACCAAATACAACTTGATTGAAGCGCACAAAGAACGACGATTGTGTTATTATCGCATACTCTAAATTGTTAGACCCTAGGTTAAAGGTCAAATCAAATACCGAACTAGCCGATCTCTTAACACTGCTCTTACCACTATTAATCGACAAGTTAGTTAAATTATGTGCTTATCCACGAAACACATACATACCATACCGATCTCTTTCTTTACCTCAACAACTCAAACTACTCAAACTCAAAAGAAAAGCAATCAAGGCTGACTTTGTACATAGAGATTTCAAAGGAAGAACTTTTCGAAAAGCCATGGAAACCGACTTTTACAGCAATATAAGTAAGCTCTAACTGATATTCAAGGTAAATAACTGGGCGCACTGCCAAAAATTGGTTCCACTCCCAGTTGAGTGTTCGGCTAAGATAATAGTTAATAAATAGTTAAGATAACAAATAAATTCAAAACAATTTTTTGAAATTATTTCAAGGTTAACCAATGCAAAATCGATAATAATACCAGAAGTAATATACCATTATTGTTATTAAATATATTTAAATATGAATTAAATATATATTTGGCGGCTTTGATAAAGGACATATACCATTAAAAAACATTAATGATATATATCAGCTTACTTTGCTTACTTGTTCAACTGATCCAAACCGGGAGTTTTGAGGACTCGCAGCTATCACCTATCACACGTCACCGAACTGATCCCAACTTGAGAAATGTGTTCACAACATGTTACTTTCCAAACTGAAACAACCCATTGTACACTTGCAATAACCTCCTCGCAAGTAAGCAACTGAAAGCCCTATAATAGACATATTTATATGAAACATAACTATATATACACATATAAAAATATAACGATAATGTAACGAGTTTGGTTCGAGTTTTTGCCTTTAATTTTCAACTTTACGGATTCGTCAAAATGGCTGTTAATTTTTGGGAAATAAAGATGCTAATGCAGAACAGTTGAAGGGAATTAAACAAAAATATAATAAACGCAAGAAGGACAATTGTTTAATTATTTACACTTAAGCAACGCGTTGCCTGCGACAGTTTGTAATAGAGGAGAAGAAGAATATATGAGTAGCGAGATAGCAATTAAAGCCTAAAAATTAAAATATGTATTAACAAATCAAATGCTTCAGCCGCTTGTTGTTTGCTCAAACCAGTCAAACGTAATTAATTTTAAGTGAAAGCCGCTACATTTAGATAAGTATTACAAAAGTGCATAGGGCGCTCATGATCTCTGTTATTTTTTTTATAATAAAAGGCATGACGCAAATGCAAGTAGAAACAAATTGTTATTGTGACAGGAGCTAGCCACAGATTAGCAAGAGACACGCACCGAAACTAAATGTTAAGCAATTTAATATTAAATGTCGGCCGAAAACGGAAGCAAACAAATTGTACTTAGTGTAGTATGCACTACGGGCATGAGTATGGTGAATATGGTGAATATTCCACAAACCGTTAGAAAAGTAGAGAACGTTTTTGAAAAATGCGCAACAGTCGCAAATAAAAACAAAATAAAGTGATATATAAAATTGAATTTCGCTGTTAATTTAATTATTTTGGTGTCTGAACATTTGATTCAGGCAAAAATAAAAGGATTTGTTAGAAGCATTAAGTGGAAGTCATGGAATTAAAAAATTTTAATTGTGGAATGCTTTAGTTAAAATATATATGTAGTTCTTTATAAAGACAATTTTTGTTTTGTATAATTTGTTTTGAAAATACTTAGATATTTATTATGTTGAAATTCTATACTTCTTAGCAAAATTCGTATTGTTTAAAAATGTATACATATATACATATATTATTCAAATTTAACGGGTATCCAACCAGTTATTTTACAGCTACTTACTAAGATCAGGTTTAACACAAAAACTTTATATTTAGGCCTATTTTCTGCCTAAGATGTGTGTTTCAATAATAATAATTATTAGATGATGAGGAATCAAGTTCAGTGCATCACACATCCCAGGCCTTTATATGGCAATAGCTTCGAGACGATTAGTCACAGCCATTATTCTTACCATTATCTCTAGCAATTAGAAAATATTTTCGTCTTTATTTTTGACATTTTTATTTTATTTCTTATCGCCTACGACTAAAAACAAACTCTAATGTTGGTTGGGCGGCTACATAGGTATAAACAAACTAAGACAAACAATTTTGCATCGTAGGACATCGATAGCTATCGACTGTTTTTGGAGTACATCTTTATGTATGTATCAGCATAATTCCTAAAGTTAAGTCTTAAAAACATAAGGATATTTTTTGTTGGTATTTTGCGACGCGCAAGGTTAAAAAATAATCGTAATACGAAACTTATAGAATCTAATTTGCCCTTAAATGAATCTTCGGCATTTCCGTACCGAGGTCAGCGAATGAGGCATAGCCAGGCGAGGAATAACGTGTAGCAGTAGGGATGGCTTACAAACGAAATGCTAACTGATGACTAAACTTGGCGCTGACTGAATGGGTATTCAAGCCCATGCTCTCTATGGTCTGGTCTATCACTGATGCTGCTCACTGGAGCTGCTGAAAGTGCGGCTGCGACTCAGGCGCCTGGCCCGCTCTGCCAATGCAGCCTGCTCACTCCGTCCGTCCGACAGATGTTGAGGGAGCTGTAGGATACTATGTAGCTGGCTTTTCAGCTGCTTGGTCTGCGGTCGCTCCTCCGGATGGGTGGATAGCATCTGCTTGAGTAAATCGTACTGCTGCGGGTAATCGATAGCGAAATCCTTAGGATACTGGCCATCCCGCAGACTGCGCAGCGTTTTGATTCGCTCCATTTCGGTGCAAAAGTATACATGCAGCTCAAAAAATATCAGTCCCAGCGAGTAGATATCAACCTTGTAGTCGTAGTGCTGACCTAAAAGCTGCTCCGGCGACATATACAAATGGGTGCCCACCTGCTGGGTGTGACGGGCACAAGAGGGCAGGCCACTCTGATCCCCGCACTTGGCAACCAGGTTGGGAATATCTGCCATATCAGTGACCAGCCCAAAGTCTCCAATCTTGATTTGCCCATCTTGCGAAAAGAATATATTGCTCGGCTTGAGGTCTCGATGAATCAGACCCTTCAAGTGCACATAGTCGACGGCATCAACGATCTGGTGGAAGATGTCAGCAATGTGGGCAGACCTAGCTTCCGATCGATTGTCCCTTAGCCAGTCACGCAGACTCTCCTTCCGGCAAAGCTGCATCTGGATGTACAGGTAAACTTTGCTGGGCTTGGCCACCACTCCGTTTTGTATAGAGGCACTCGGAGGCGTCGCATGGCTTACGTTGTGGTTGTTATTATGGTTCTGGGCAAGCGCCAAGGTAAGTGGCTTCCTTCGAACTTTATTATCGTCCTCAGCATCATCACTGCCATTGCTCTTGGGGCGCACAGATTCGATTTGGAAGGAGTTGGATACTAGCTGGTGCTGTGAGTAGTTTATGTTCTTTAGGTCGAACGAGGCCGAATGAATGTCGATAGATACGGAGCTGCGGTGCTGTCTTCTACTGTCCTCCTGCACCTCTACGTCCTCATCGTCATCATCTTCATCCTCTCCTCCTCTTAAAGCAGCCGATTGCGACTCGCTGCGGAACTCAATGAGTGAATCGTCATCATCGTCATCATACTCCTCTCTAATGTTTCTTAGTGATGACTCGCCATGTCCATGAAAATCATGGCTGCAAGCAGTGCTGTTAGCTGCATCTGAGACCCAGGACAAGAGCTGCTGGTGGCGTTTCTCCTGCAATTGTTCTGCCAACGAGGGCATTGTACTATCATCAGGCGTCTCTATTTGGATGGAAGTGGACAGTTCATGGGCAAGCAACTTGCGATCCTCTTCTTCCTGCCAACCTGTTGGCGGAGTTTCGGTCCAAGACTAGAAGATGAAACCAAACCAAAATTTTAGATACCTTTCGTCTGGTAATTAATTTTTGTCAAATATAACTACTTACATGGAAGTAGCGCACGATGTTATGATGCTCGCAACTGGCCAATGTTCGGGCCTCGCGAAGGACACGCTGCCTTGAGGATTCTTTATATGGTAGCGTTATACGCTTAATGGCGTATCGGTTTTCATCCAGTTTATTCTTGGCTTCAAAGACCACTCCAAAACCACCGCGACCGAGACACTGCATCAGCTCGAAGTCCGACTGAAAGCGCGATGTGTAATGCTCCCCTGAATGCGTGGTGGACTCAGAAATAGTGCGCTGGCTTCCCCGGCCCGAAGGGAAGCTAAAACGGTTTCCGGGGCGCTGCATCGGAACTACGGGACCCAGTAGGGCCTGTGTGGATGCTTCGGTGGCCTCGATAGCCGTTTGTACTGGTACATGACGCTCAATGACCAGGTACTCCCGCTCCACGCGTTGATTTCGCTGTCCCATAAATATATTGAGGATAACAGCAGAGGTAAATGCGATGACCACTATCTCCTTCCACCAAAACCACAGGGACAGTATCACCACCTTCACAGGGGCGTCAATGTCGTCTAGACTAAAGCCCAAATCATCGTTGATGCTATGATTGCCAGAAGTTCCCTCAGATGTGGTATTGCTAGGAGGCGTTGGAGCATTGATTGCGGGAAGGCCACTAGGTGTATTTTGTGGGTCGCACTCTGATGGACCCTCCAGTTCGCCGGTGGTATAGAAGTAAAAGCCATTTCCATTTACGAACTCTGACGCATTCAACACGGACTGCGCAGCTACAGCAGAGTTTTGGTCATCATAGGGCACCAATTCACCTCCTTGGGGACTCGTTTCCTCAGAAATCAACTCAGGATCCTCTAGATCTTTACGAAAGATGACCAGAGAGTTGCTGCTGGCAGCTATTGGCTTCCATGGGATCTTGGGCATTAGACTGGTGTCACCTGTAAGCTGCTGATAAACCTTTGTCTGGTCCATTATCTCCTGTCGTAAACGAATAGACTCCTGTATATATAACTGTTTATCGTACATTCCCAAGTAAATGGACGGTGGTCTCTGTGGCGTTTCTGGGAGTTCCTCGCTCTCCTGGTCATTGTCCCAGATCCACTGGGACGAGCTAAACAAATCAATAGGCTTCAGCTCGTCGGCTGCATTCGTATTCCAGGCACTGACAATTGGATGATCGAACTATGAAAGGGAAATAAAACAATGAGTAAATACAAATACAATAATATTAAAATAATCGTAAGTCACCTTGTACTTCCAGAGCATGGTCTGCGGGTCACTTTTGCTGAAGGCGCAAATGATTCCCTCAGGAACCACAACCTTAATATCTACGTCAAGTACAGCCATCTCCAGTTCATCGCGTGGCTGCTGTTGGCACTCGGAAGGACGCACCAGATCCAATTCATGCTGGCCAACGCTGAAGTTCCAACGCTCCATTCCAGTTCGGGATTCCACGGCTCGCACCGTCTGTGTCTGGCGACGCACTACGATAACGTCGTCAATGAGCGGATCATGGCCCACTATATAGCCGGCCTCGTCCCTTAGTTGATCACCGCCATCCTGCGGATCCTCCACTTCCGGCTCCCTAATAGTGTCGTCGATGGCAAGTCCATCCTCCGTGGAATTTACACATCCGTTTAGAGAGCATTCATACAGCAGCTGCCCTGTGCGAACGGAAACGCCATACGATCGAGTCTCCTTACCTCCGGAGATCACCAAATCGTCGCTAAACTTAGCACTCGAGCTAAGCAGATGCTCTGCAGTAATCGGAATGGGGTCAATGGAATCGCCGTCGAACTTGTATATGCCGCCGCTTAGCGATGGAATCATGCGCACAAACTGTCCATTATTGGTCAACTCAAGGCGGTGAATGCTAGACGAGATCAGCGGCCCGGGTCCGGTGGGCACGCTCCAGTGTAGTTTTCCGGACTTTGCTATGTCTAGGGCGCTCAGTCGTCCGTCAAGTGTGGTAATGTACAAGAGTCTGCGGGGATGGTAAACAGAGGAATAATTACTAAATTTGGGGAAATGTCTTAATATTATCAAAAAGGTTTTCTGATTTTTTATAGTATATTCAAGTTTACGGCTCTTCCTATTTTGTTATATATTTATAACTTTCGGACAACCATTTTTGTTAACTTTTTTATTGCAAAATATTGGAAAACTAAATTTGTCACCTAGTTTTCTAACTTAATCATGTTTATTTTAGTAGTTTTCAAAAATTTTCAAAAACAGGAATTTAAAAAAAAAAATATTTAGCTAGGAATAAGCAGAAATCTAAGAAATGTTGAAATATTTAATCTACCCTAATGCCAAAGCAGATTTTAACAATTGGAACATATTGAAAATCACGGCACCAAATATTAAATGAAACAAAAACAATTTCCCTTCTTGAAACAAAAAAATGTTATTTTTAAAAAAGTACAAGAACAAATTTTACTACATCTTATTTTTTTTTTTAATATTAGACAGAATGATAATGTACCGTCTTCTTATAGATCTCATTTTAGTTTAAGATCTTTCATGGGCTATCCCCAAATTTTATCAGTTTCTGACACGAATTTCGTCATCAGCTGCAAGGTGCATGGTGCAAGGATAAAGGCAGTCAGGAGAAAGGGTCACACTTGCTCTCTCAGCTGACTACGTAAAGCGGGTGAGGAAGGGGTCACACTCAGCTGTTTTCGCGCCAAGAAGCAAAAACAGACAGACAACAAGTGGCAGTTGGATCCACTTCATTTCCCCTATCGCCATCTCTCTCCATCACCCACCGAAGACCCGAAGATGGCGCCCTCCAAACGCGGGGATATAGCAAGCGAGAGGAGAATGGTGAAATTCGATGAAAACCTTAAGCAAACGCAAAGAAAGCAAAACAATTGAGGAAACCAGTTCGGATTGGCGTGCATAAATAAACATATCTCGACTGTCCCGCACAAACAAAAAAGGCAGTTAACAGTTTTGCAAATGACTCACCGCATGCTTGATAAGCGTCCACTGATTAGGGGTCTTTAAAGGTGGTTAAGGTTCGAACCGAGAGGGATCATATTATCAGATTAATCAAAAACTACGCGTAGAGCGGTAGCTTTTTTATTTCTTTGCTTTAATTAGGCACTTTGTGAAAGGTCGAACTAAATGGGATATCACTATGTGATCCGTCGGAAATTTAGGGTTGAACACAAACTGTATTCCATCTGCCCTAATAATAACAGTGTTCTCTTTGAATTTCTCGTTTTATCTGGATAAATAATCGCTAGTTTAATCAAATATTAACATGTTACTTTTAATATTTGCCTAGCTGCTGTCGTTTACCACTTGCACTGCGAATGTTCGAGAACATTATAAACATAACAGAAGGGTCACACACATAACGCACTATAATGCTTCTTCTTTATCCATTCGATACAAATATTCCTCACGATTTATTGAGTATGGTACCACCTACCTTCGACCGATCCGTCGTTCTTCCTGACCCATGCAGAGCGCGAGGGCAGGGGAACGGGATGCTTCCGCCGTCTGGAGTTCGGAATCCTCGTTCAGGTGCCCAGCTCTGACCTGAACGGGATCTATGGCCGCCAAGCCAGCCATGGTAAGCGCTATGAGATGGAGGAGACTCAGGTTTCGGCGCCGCTGCATGACGATGCCATCCAGGTGGTCCTGCATGCCCATCGAACGCGAAATTTTTATCTATAGCCGATCGGGGGCTCGGGGAACGAAATGGGAATGCAAGTCTTTAATTGGCTTGAAGTGACGTGTTGACCACTGTTGGTGGTCGGCGGGTGAACAGCGGCGGCAGTGGCTCCCGATAAGGTCGGCGCACATCTCCGCATCACTCTTTTACGCGCGCTGCAGGCAATTGCAATGTCACTATTTAATTGTCCTAAAATCGGTTAACTTAAGCTTGTTTTCCTTCTTAAGGAGCCGCAACACGCTGCAGATAGTACCAATTTTGATAGTACCAGGGTGGTGTGCAAGTGGTTCCGTCAATCGAACTGGTTCCTATGAAGTAGTTGGGATATCGGTGTAAAGACAGTTGAGAACCTGAACCGTGAATAGAAAGATATTTAAATATTCTGAACACATCCAATTTCAATCAGCAAGTGGGTCCTTTAATTAAAAGATCTGATATTTCAACTGGTTTCGCGATGTCGCGGAATCAAACATATACTAGTAAGAAGAATTGTCTGTATAGTAAAAATGAGTGTGCTTGTGATAAAAACTTACAAATATAATGTCGTTAATGCTTAAAGGATATTTTCGAATATTTGAAATAAAATGGCCATCTTATATTTAATAGATTGAAGCTTGCAGGCTTTAAAAATTAACACTATTTCTGACGCGAGAATTAGTATTGATAATATCGATACATCGATAGGTGGGTCATATTTTAAAATAAATTCAATTTTCTAGGCTTTCAATGCATTTAAACTGTCCGTTGTACGTTCATTTATTTCATATCAAAGGTACTTACAGAACTTCCATAATACTTCTGAATCTAAAGAAGTCCATCCAAGATCATATCAAAAACTTTTTTACACCGAAAAATATCTACGCTCTGAAATGGTGCAAATGCAGATTGTTTTTAAAAGTATACTGAGAGATCGTTTAGGAAATCTGAACTATTCTATGCAGACTTGTCTATAAATGCTGTAGTCCTTCCCTCCGTAGTTGAAAATACCACGAGTACGAAAACATGACCATAGACAGACTTCGTAAGTACTGACTTTTGAAGAAAATTAAGAGGTGATTAACTTTTAATCTCTCATTATATGCAGTTCCATATTTTTTCGCCATTAATGTGAAAACAGTTATGTTGTAATTAAATTTAAATTGTTTCATTTAATATAAAACGGATTTTTTACTCCTGCAGGTCAGTAACTTAAGTTGGATATTAACTTAAATCCTTGATGGGTACAGCATCTAAAAGAAAGTTAAAAATATGAAAACACTCGAATTGTAGGCTAAGTTGGGTTTACACTTACGATACGGATGCGGTGACCCATGGCATGACCGGGCAGGTTTCTGTTGAAACGGGCACGCACAGCTCCGGTGTTGCCGTGGATACGGGTAACCTTGCCCCAGACCGCACGGACACGGGTCTTGCGCTCAGGATGCTGAGGCACGCACTTCTTGGTCTCGGCCTTGTAGACATAGACGCAACGCTTGCCAACGTAGAAGGATCCGTGCTCTTTGCGGCGGGCGCCCTCAATCTGTATTAAAAAAATAAGTTAATGATTATTTTTATATTAATATATTTAACAATATAACGTCATAGATGTCTTGTCACTTTGTTAAAACATAAGCCCTAGTTTACAGGCTTTGATTATAGTTAAATTTAAACCAACATCTGCTTTGATTTTAAAAGCTGAGGATTATCACGCAATGTTGCTTATTGAATTTATATCAGAGTTATATCAGTTACAAAAGTTCTTTGACGCTTTACGCTTGTTTAAGAGTGTCGATGAACAGAAACAAGTTTTTACCTTAAGGATGGCCTGGTTCTCGTGCTGGTTCCTCAGACCACGCTTGTAGCCGGTGAAGACAGCCTTGGCAAACAGACGTCCATGTCGCTTGTATTTCTTGGCGGAAACCTTAGCCTCGGTGGCGGCGGGTTTCTCAGCCTTGGGTGCTTTGGCTGCCTTGGGTGTCTTCTGAGTCTTAGCGGCCTTAGGCGCAGCAGCGGTCTTGGCTTGTGTGTCGGCCATGGCTTAGCTGTAGATTAGAAAGGATAACTATTAGTAATGGCCACTATTGGTAATTAATAAGGCAGTTAACTAGTCACAGACTATTTATCTTTTTTCCACTAGGAAACTATTGTATTGTTAAAATTTACTTGTTATATTTATATTTTGTTGCGATTTCATTCATGAATTTTTTTTTATGAAAATCCCGCCAAAACTTCTCAAAGCTAGACAGTATTAAATATTAAAAAAGGTTCAATTGCTTTAGAATGTTTTGAAAAATACTATTGACGTGTAATAAGAAACATTTAATACACTGCTTTTATCACAATTGGAAACCACTGCAAATTTCTTATTGTGTACTACATAAAGAACAGATTGATGGCTTTTGAGCGGTTTTCAACTGACATCACAAACTTTGCAATAGAGATTGTCCTGAAGGAACTACTCAGACAAAAACAATCACAAAATAATACTGCCAGCATAATTTGGTGCACGTGGGCCAGATTATTTCAGGTTATTAAATGATTATTTGCTGGTTTTCCAGTGCGATGACTAGTTTTCCGGTTTCTGCGGAAACCCACCTTGTTGTTCGATGAATGAATTAACACCGCTGGAAATACAAATTAAATATTATTACAGGAAAAAAAGAAGCAAATTTATTTTACTTACTTCGCCGGAAACGAAAGCGAAAAGAAGGAAATAGTGTGGCTGCCACAAGACGCTACAAAAACGCGATCTGTTATTAAAACCAGCGTGCCGTTATTCAACAGTGTGCTGTTAGACGATTATACAAAATCAGTTGGCAGCGCTAAGGAATATTTGCATTATGAATTGACCGCGTTCTTCAAGAAATTTTTTTTTATCACAGAAGTTGAATTTCAAAGGAACTACAGTGAACCCACAGTTGACCATAAAAATAGTATATGTTAATCAACAGAACACGTTCTGAAATTCGTCCTCCATCGGTAAAGACCTTTAATTTTGCCCAATATAACTTAACTTCTTTTACACTTCAGTAATTCATTTTTTTTTAAGACCTTGATTGAAATATAGTATTCAACATCATGGTCATAGTTAATCATTTAATTTCAAGATTTCGTTGCCATGCTATTGAATTCTGTTTTAATTTACATATATACAAATTCCTTTTTATTTTTACATATGTAACGGCTTCGGCTTCAGACTCTAACGTTACTAGAGTACAAAGAGTTCAAAACCAGGGGTTGCGAATGATTGCAAATGCGTCTTGGTATGTCAGAAACGAAGCTCTTCCAAGTGATCTCTTTCCTTCTATCAGAGAACAGATAAAAAAGGCACTCGAGTCGGTACAACGATCGTCTTGCAACTCACACCAACCACTTTTAGCTTCTTCCCTGGCTAACACAAGACTTAAAAGACGTCTAAAGCGAAGGCACCCTTCTGATCTCTGTACTAGAGGACAACAAGTTCCTCGAGTTCTAAAACAGTAATTCAGACTTAGTAGCATTAATCTCTAGGTATCTAGCTATAAAAATTTGTTAACTTTCTTCTTGTGACGTATTCATGTTATTTGTTCAATTTAATATTATACCCAACGTATTATAGCCATTAAGTTGGCTGATCGACATTTAATAAATGTATTAAAAAAATGTAAAAATAAACATTTAAATCAGAATTTTAAAGTTTTAAGCTGCTTCCAATTAAAGAACTTTCAATGTTTTCTGTTTTAAAGATGCCATTTTAATTATTTGTTTACCAGATATACCACAATTACATTACATGTTCAAATTACAATTAGAGATGTAAAAGCTATTTCGTCAACGCAGCTTTGTTTACTATCGATTGAAAGACTTTATACAGGTAATTCAACCGTATATTCATTTAAAACAATTATAATTCTCCCATTATGTTTTCTAACAACAATTTTTGGAGTAGCCCCCAAACTGACGGCCGATGTGGCACAATAAAAAAGATACATATGTAGATAAGGTTTTTAAAATCAATCTACAAAATGATTTGCAACTAAACAGTTTACATAGAAAACTATCGCTAATCGAATGTAGTTATCGGCGACTTGGCGCAATCGCGTAGTGTTTTTTTTCAGTGCCGAAAACAATATCAAAATTTTCATAACAATGTTGAGATTTTAAAGACTGCTACAAAATTGTGAAGCACATGTACCCAGCTGAACATAACCGAACGTGAGAACCGATCGCCAGAAGAAGCCGCACAACGTTGCATAAATAGCGCAGCTCCCCCGTCAAAATTAAAGAGGCTCTCTTTGGGACTCTGAGCGAACTTTGGATGCGCCGCGATGGGCTTGCTGGTGCAAGTGTTCAAGTGGGATCAGCGATGGTGTCTGCTGCACAGGGTGGATATCCTGCTGCGACGGGGCATTAAGAAGCAGGCGGTATACCCGACCAAGTAAGTGGAGTCCTGAATCCTCGTGAACATTGCATAACGCACATTTTTTGCAGACTCGCTGAAGTGGGTCGACTGGTGGAGGCCCGCGACGACCGGTACGAGACCGGCCAACTTTTTTTACACCGCATCTTTGGCTACCGCGGCGTCATTCTTTTTCCATGGACAGCCCGTGTTTATGACCGGGATCTTCACAATCCCGGCAAGATCAGCGCCACCACGACGACAACGACAGGCAGTCCGAACCAACAGCACCGCACCAAAGAGTCTTCTCTCCGGGTGAAGGCCAATAACTCCGTTCCGCCGCCGGTGACAACCGCGCAGGGCGGTGATGCTCCTACCTCAGCCGCCTACCAGGCAGACGCTCCCGGTGAGGCCGAAAGCTCCACCAATGTAGGCACCGCCACGCAAGTGGATCCTAAGGAGGTTAAGGGCAAGGTGCAAACCTTTTACCAGGTGCTCATTGACACCCGCGACTGCCCGCATATTGTAAGATGAAATATGCTTTGACTTAATCATAACTAAAAAGGTATTTCTTGACTCGCAGCGCGCCCAGACCGAGGCGGTCACTTTCCTGGGCAACCAGGACTCCAATCGCAGCTTGTACGCCATCCCCGGGCTGGACTATGTGGCCCACGAGGACATTATGCCCTACAGCTCTAGTGAGAAGAGTCCGTTGCAGCACGAGTTGTTCGACAAGTTCCTCACGCACGCACCGGAGGCGGATCCGCCCTTCGTGGGGCAGGACACGCTGAAAGCGTGGCAGGAGAAAAACCATCCCTGGTTAGATATGAGCGATGTGCACAAGGAGACCACGGAGAACGTGCGTATTACAGTGATCCCCTTCTATATGGGTTGCCGTGAGACACCTGCTAGTTCGGTGTATTGGGTATGTTAGGAAGACTTAAATAATGGATCTTATCTAAATAGCCTTCTATTATAGTGGCGTTACTGCATCCGACTAGAAAACCTTGGAGAGCTAAGCGTGCAGCTGCGAGAGCGTCATTGGCGAATTTTTTCGCTGTCTGGAACCTTAGAGACGGTCCGTGGAAGGGGAGTGGTGGGCCAGGAGCCCATCCTCAGCCCTCGCTTGCCTGCTTTCCAGTACAGCAGCCATGTGAGCCTGCAGGCTCCCAGCGGTCATATGTGGGGCACCTTCCGCCTTGAGCGCGAGGATGGTTATTCATTCGATTGCAAGATTCCGCCTTTTTCGCTGGAAAGCAAGCCGGACGACCTGGGTCCGCCCACAACAGCTACGCCTAGCACCCACGATAAAAAGCGAGACGATAGCGACTAAGTGGCAGTTGTTAAGCCGTAGTTAAATGATTTTAAAACGCAAACTTCTCTGACAATGCATGCGTACATGTGTTTAGTGCAAATTACAATAATCAACTAGGACGCAGATCCCGTTTCGTTTCTCAACCCAGTCGTACGTTCTTAGCCTCTAGCTGTATGGAGAAGTCAAAGGGTCGTCGGTTGTCGTGGGTATCGAATATGCTCTGCAAAGCATCGATGGCCGCCGTTTCAGTGGCTGTTTTCAAGTCCTCTCCAAATCCCTTTCCCAGCAACTGCCGGTTAGCATAAATGCCCACCTGGTAGGCGGCCAGTACTGTGTTCTTGCCGCAATCTCCGAGCAGGCGAGGTTCTACTTCCCCCAGCTTTCGCTCTTTGCAAATATTATCGAGCAGCTGTAGTGGTTCCTGCGGTGTCCACACATCCAACAAATCTTTTTGATTCAGTTGAGTGCAGATGAAATCGCGGACAAAAAGGAAAGCCCTCTCAATACCACTGGAATCGGCCAGGGCTCCGATGACCGCCTGGAGAGATTGGGCCAGACTTTCGTTTGAGGGCGGATACTCTGTTGAGTTAATCAGATCTTTGGTGCCCAGATGGAAGGACACGCGAGCCAGGTTTTCAGTGCTGAGCAAAAAGCTGGTGATTGCCTGGAGTCCTTCTTTGGGTAACTTCGGAAGCTGGTGCTGCAAGAAGGCCTCCACGTAGGCTTTGGCGATATGCTGACCCTTCTCGACAAGATCGCTGTTGTCGAGCATCTGGAGGTCAGCCTCCTCAATGCCCAGCTGTCGTCGACGATCCTCCTCACGCCGAGCGAAGGATTTTTCTGTGAAGGCTCGCTGCAGCTGGGAAAGCTCGAAGGATTCGCCTAACCGCTTTCCAAAGGCGAACAGTTCAGAGCGCTGGTTCCACTCCACGAATCCGGAACGCGCCTCCGGTTTCTGCGGACCCAGTTTTTTCTGCCGGTGTGCGAGTTCACGTAACGTCGGCGAGACCCAGCGTTTGATATGGCGCCGGGCTTGCAGTCCTGAAATCACATTTTATTGACTGGAATTGGATGCGTTGGTAGCACATACCTGTGGTAGAGCTTTCTAGGGGCTTAGCACGACCCAAAACACCGGCCACACTGCGCAAAAAAGACATCTTTGGATCGATCTTAGAAATAATTAACGAATATTATTTTGCGCGTGGGATCCAGTGTTGAAAGGTATTTAAAAATTACGTTTAAGTGGTGGTAGGCTGGCTATCTTTTTTCTATACATCTTAATTTTCTGTTTAATATAAATATTTCTAAAAAAAAGTAATATTCTCAAAGTAAAATTGTCTTTTATTAGTTTACAAAATTTAAGCTCAGAATGGTTTAGTTCATATATTTTTTAACGTTATGTTGCACTTAATATCAGTTATCATTGTTTTACTGACTACTAGGTTAATGGTTTTTAAGTATAGAGAGAAATAGGTAAAATAAATTTCAAATCCGTTAGAGCTTTTAACTAATATAAAAACATTTAATTTGTTAGCTGTATAATAGTTGTCTTCAACTTGAGCGCAGCATCACTGCGTTGGTGTTAAAAGTGCGTTTTCCAACACTCCCGCGATAGACGCCTTGTATGTACTTGGCTGTGTTTGTGTATGCGACAGGAAAATTGAAGCTGGAAAATATTAACAAAAATCCTGCAGAGAATCGATTTAAAAACGCACGGAAGCAGACTGACACAACATGGCGCTGCAGACGTACGGGGACAAGCCGGTGGCCTTCCAGCTAGAGGAGGGCGGTGAATACTACTACGTGGGCTCTGAAGTGGGCAACTACATGCGGCATTTCCGCGGCATCCTTTACAAGAAGTATCCCGGGATGACCCGCATCGTCCTGTCCAACGAGGAGCGGAAGCGTCTGGCCGAGTCCGGTTTGAGTTCCCATATTTTGGCCAGTTCTGTCTCACTGCTCCGCGCTGTGGAGGTAGACGACATAATGGCCGGCAACGATGAAAAGTAAGTGTTCTAAGGTGTACTAATTTGGAATCAACGAAATGATGCTTAGTGCTGAAAGAAAACTATGTTGTTGATCTGATTGATTGTTGATCATTAAATAATTACATGTTACAACGAATCCTAATCCTCAATCCTAATATAAATTTTATAGGATCAAATGTTCGATACAAAGTATTCTATAATGAAATAATTTTTAAGAAATTTCAGGATATAAAAATGTATAAATTTTTGCTTAAAAATTTACACTAATAGTAAAAGGGGAAAGACATTAATTAACTTCTTGTTAACAAGACTTAATAGATTACAACCTGACTTACTTTACTATACGTATGTCCTCCTTTTTTCCCTTACTTTAACATTGTGACCGATACAAAACCAATGAATATCGATTAAATTTCATTAGTTTTGGTAAATCTCCATTCAATTCAGTCAAATGTCATTGGGAAAAGTAAGTTATACTTTGACACAACTTTAAATGATTTTCAAATTATAAACCTAATTGGCTTTTATATTTTACATCAACCAGATAGCTTGTAGCGGCCTTTTGGGGTCAAATATCCTACAAAATAATTATCTCACATTGTTTTAATCATGAAACTGCGTCACAGGTACCGCGCCGTCTCCGTAAACACCTCCGATACGCCCGTGCCGCGGGAGAGCAAGTCGAAAAAGCAACCGCAGTATGTGCCCACGATGCCCAACTCCAGCCACTTGGATGCAGTGCCGCAGGCTACGCCCATTAACCGCAACAGAGTGCACACGAAGAAAGTTCGCACATTCCCAATGTGTTTCGATGACACAGATCCCACGGCCAGCCTGGAAAATGCTGCACAGAAGGAGTGTCTGGTGCCCATTCGACTGGACATGGAGCTTGAAGGACAGAAACTTCGGGACACCTTCACGTGGAACAAGAACGAGAGCATGATAACGCCGGAGCAATTCGCGGAAGTTCTTTGCGACGACCTGGACTTAAATCCCCTTCCTTTTGTGCCGGCGATTGCGCAGGCCATCCGGCAACAGATCGAGGCCTTCCCCAACGATCCCCCCATCCTTGAGGAGAGCTGTGATCAGCGGGTGATTGTTAAACTAAATATTCACGTGGGCAACACCTCGCTAGTTGACCAGGTCGAGTGGGACATGTCCGAAAAGAACAACAACCCTGAGGAGTTTGCCATAAAGCTCTGTGCGGAATTGGGATTGGGCGGAGAATTCGTTACGGCTATTGCCTACAGCATTCGGGGTCAGTTATCCTGGCATTGTCGCACTTATGCCTTCAGCGAGGCTCCACTGTCGACGATTGATGTGCCCTTCCGGAATCCGAGCGATGCCGATGCGTGGGCACCATTCCTAGAGACGCTTACCGACGCCGAGATGGAAAAGAAGATCCGAGACCAAGACCGCAACACACGCCGAATGCGGCGACTGGCAAACACCACAACCGGCTGGTGATCTTCCGGCGATTCAGCAATATGTCACTAAAGTAATACCCTTCTAATAAGTACCATTATTCATCTCAAATAAAAGTGTGTCTGTCGATTTTAAAACCATCATCCTGCTACTATACGAGGTGTGTTCAAAAAGTAAGGTGACTCTTCAAATTTCGCGAATTTCAAATTTTTCGATTATCGATTTTTTTGTTTTGTTATATTGGTACACTCTTCCCTAACATCTGTACCAAGTTTCAATGGAACATCCTCTTTTGTTTGGTTGTGAGAGGCGTAAAGTTACAAGTTATTTTGCGAGCTCGGCGATTTTTTGCTATCGAAAAATATGGATCAAAGGATTTGGATTTTTTGGCCAAAAACAACACCACAATAATGCCTCAGCCACCATATTCACCGGATTTGGCCCCATGTGACTTTTTCTTGTTCCCAAAACTGAAGATAATCGAAAAATTTGAAATTTGAAAAGTCACCTTACTTTTTGAACACACCTCGTATAACTTCTAAAAGGTTTCGATAATCGAAAAATTTGAAATTCGCGAAATTTGAAGAGTCACCTTACTTTTTGAACACACCTCGTAAGTCAAAAAACACGATGAGCTTTTTAAATATTGTATTTTTAGAACAAATCCCTCCCATTAAGTAGATCCACATTAAATTACACCTAGCCTGCTGCTCTTTACTGCTTACACTAAACATTTTACACTACGTTGACCAATACTAACTCTCCGCAGAGTCAGGCTTATCTTGATCTTGATCGCCGTCGTAGAACTCGTTCTTAGCATCAACCATTTTGTCTTCATCAGCCACGGACATTCGCACATCGGGGTCGGCCGCCTCATCACGATTGTTACGCAGCTCTTCTAAATCCACATCTGGTGGAGTCTGCACCATTTGGACGCTAGGGGAGTGCTGGCACATCTTAAGGTTCTCATAAACATGCTTTACTATTAATTCAAGGTATTGCTTTGAGTTTGCATTATCCTGCCGTGAGTTAATCTCTGGATGGAGAGTGAAGTCGGGGGCAAAGAAGTCGTAATACTCGGTGGCAGGAAGATCATTTTCAATGTCTTGGTCCACCAGCAGCGAAGTCTCATGCGTCCAGCAGCGGGCCACGTTTCGCAGCGTATAGCCACCACCTCCAACGACTAAAGTTGGTACATTCAGCTCCTTCACAAATTTGACACACTCTCCGTGTCCCTTAGTGCTCAAAGAGAAGCAACCAAGTCGATCCCCTGCTAGAGAATCCGCTCCACACTGCAAAACAATTGCCGTTGGTCGATAAAAGTCCATAATGGCCGAGATGATGGGTTTGAACACCTGAAAGTAGCTCTGATCATCAATGCCTTCCTTGAGCGGCACATTCACGCTGTAGTATCGACCCGATTCCGCGCCAATCTCATACATGTCACCTGTGCCTGGAAAGAAGTAATTGCCGTATTTGTGAAATGAGGCCGTCATTACTCGATCAGTAAGGTAGAATGCCTCCTGCACACCATCGCCGTGGTGCACATCGATGTCTATGTAAAGCACTCGAGGATGGTACTTCAGCAGCTCCAGTATGCCAATCACAATGTCATTTACATAACAAAACCCGCTTGCCTCAAACTTCTTGGCATGATGCAGTCCTCCTGACCAGTTAATGCAGATGTCGCTGTGGTTATGGTTCAGCTTCTGGGCTCCCTCTAAGGAGGCGCCCGTGTACATCGCACAGAAGTCGAAAAGGCCGTCGAATACGGGACAGTCCTCACCCACGCTGAAGTGCGCTAGATACTTAGTGTAGGCCACGGCTGAAAAGGATTTTTTTGACAATGTTAGTTTTGTAATTGATCGCTTGCTTTATAATTAAGCTTGTCTCTTAGTTAGCATTTATCTACTTACAATTGCACTGGATGTTTTGAGGCGTCACCTGCTGGAGGTAGGCTATGTACTCATCGCTGTGAAACCGAAGCATGTCCTGAGCACTGGCCCTGCCAAGGAATATGTGTAAGATTTTACGAAAAAACACTCCACCTGCTCCACTTACTTGTACGGCCTGTAAATTTTCATTTTCTTATGAAGCCCGTAGTTCATCACCAGACTGTGGGTGACAGCCAGGCGCTGCGGCTTCATTGGATGCCCGGCTCCATAGTGGAAGTTTCCCACGTCCGCGTTGTAAAAGTACGATACTCTTCGGTCCGTCATTACTGCTTAATCTTATCGCGACGTTGGAATCCTCTAGTTGTAGTCCAGATCCACTCCGGGTAACAGGTACGTTTTCGCATACAGGACGATCAGCAGAACGGCCACGATAAACAGGAGTCGCCGGGTTGTGTCGTATTCGCCCAACAGCATGCCGTCTTCGTGGCCTCTAGACCAACTCAAATCTGATTAAATACTTTTATTTTGTCGCGGATAACAATTCGCAAATTTATTGCTGATTGAAAACAACTTAAAGCGGCGTGTGTCGAGAATACACTAAAAAATACCCAAAGTAGTGATGTGCAAACAAACTGCGTTAAGCGAAGTAGTCGAGTCACGAGTGCATCCCTACGAATCAGAAACTGGCTTACACAATTTTGAGAATGAAAGGCTTTAGTAATTATGTAAGGAAACATATATTTTAAAACTTTTGCAAACCTTTTATCATATATTTTACTTTAAAAGTTGTTTCAGGAATCCCCTTAATAGCAATTTACTTAAAAGCTCTTTGAGTTTTTAAATAAATTAAACATTTGTTTATGGTACGAAAGAGAGCTCATTTTATTTAGTCTTAATATTTTACAGGCGGCTTATGCTATAATTTTATGAGATATGTTTCGGAGCAAGAGAGTAAGCAAAATTGTTAATTGTATTACACAAAAAAAAAAAAAAAATAATAAACTCCACATTACGGTTTACTAAATAAAAATTTACCAAAAAAAGCTAAGCCGACTGCACTGCAACCGCCTGCCGCGCTTTCTTATCGGAACCGTTTGGGGATAAGCTTCGTCCAGTTGGAGTGAAATGTAGTAATCAACAATAAAAGCTGTGAGAAAGGGAATACGAAAAGTGTGTCAACTGCCTGAAAACTACATACCAGGAAGCGCTCCTTTCGGCCTTAGCAACCGATAAATCCGCAAGAGACAAGCAAAATCGGAGCAAATTACGAAACTACCATTGATTTTGGCACCAATCAAGATGTAACTTGTGACTTGGCGTAAATTACCCTTGAATAATTCAGAATCTACGGCAGTATCAGTACCCATCCGATATCAGATGTTGACCTTATATTACGTGAGTGCCACCGTCCTGCAATCCTGGCGCATTCAGAAGGCCTGCTCCAAAATCGCCGAGCACTTAGCGCAACCCTCGAGCATTGCCTTCTATGCCCTCCCGGCGGGTAGCGACGATGGATTTGGTAAGTGAAAGTGACCTTGGGACGCCGTAAAACTATAGGTTCTCCTCCTTAATTTTTAGATCCCACCCTGGCCAGCTCTGAGCTATGCGGCAACCGCAACGCGGCCAAGGTCACGGACATACTGTGGCTGCACGCTAACCAGAGGGGCTGTTGCCTCCGTCCGCTCCAAACGCTTCACATCACGCCGTGGATCAGCTTCCCGCCGGCGCCCAGTTTACTGCCCTTCTCCTACGCTGCAGAGACATTGACACCGGTAACCACGCCTACGGATTTGGGCACACCGCTTAGACAGCGAGTCTTGTTATCCGCGGAGAGCGACCAGAGGATGCAGTTGCTTCTCGAGGCTCACGTAGACCCCCTGCAGCGGCCCAGTTCCGAGGACCCAACAGCAGTGCGGGTAAGTTTGAAAGAATTCCAAACCTTTAAAAAGATTATTATTTAAAACTTTATTTTTATTATTAATAAAAGAACATATGTCATATGTTCCTAAGTTCTTTTTAATCTCGGGAAGTTAGACTACAATATTTCTGTATGTACATATGCATGTAAAATATTCTTTCATATTAAGCCTTAATGTGGCCTAACCATTTAGTATGACTTATTATATTTAAATGTAAAAGAGGTAAAGGCTATCCTTTAGATTAAAAAGTTAAAGGTACTTTTTAATATTTTTTTGCCAAAAATGTGTGCGGTTGTGCGTGCGGTAACGTGATTAAGAAGTTTTATGTAGTTCCAACATAAATAGTTCAAACGATAGAAAGCTAACGTCATATATCTGCTAACCAAGGTCAAATTTCTTATTTTTCTGCTTGCATGTCGGTTGTTCATAAATCAGTTGGAAGATTACGGTAAGCTAATTGCATGGAAAATAGACTCCCACCTGGCGGTGCTAATCGAAACTGACGTCGAGCATTTTACGCAACTTTTGATAACGACATTTTTGCGAAATAATTTATGCATTAACGATCAACTGCCACTTTTACGGATTGAGTGTAAGCGGGACCAAAAATCGTTTTCATACCCACCCGTTTTTCCATCGAAGCATTCTGATCTATTTTCTTTTTATCCTAGCGGTTCAGCGGGAAGGTGATCCGCAGCCCTTTGAGTTGCTGGCAAACCATCTGAAACGGCAGTCACGTAAAACAGTTTGCCTGAACAAGGATGGCTGGAAAAAGCACCTGGAGGATTTGCGAGCAGTCGGTGTGTTAGCTCACCAAGCTACCGAGTTCGAGTATCAAAGAAATCGATCTGAGGGAAGGACGAAACAAGATTTACTTGGACATGAGCATCGCCAGACTGCAGAACCCGTGGCAAAGGCTGTAGCTGTAGTGGAGCCCACCAACAAAACATCCCTGTCTCCGACAAGGATACCTGATTGTTCCCAGAAAACGGAGTCCAAGGAAACACCAAGGAAAGCTTCGCCTACAAAAACCGAGTCCAAAACCACTCCTGCTAAAACCGAAAGGAAGCAGATCCCAACCAATGAGGACTCCAAGCCAACGTCAAGTAAAGCTGAATCAAAGCCTAGTGAACTAGAGAAGCTAGCGGCTGCCCAGGCTGCGCAACAGAAAGTAGAGAAAATGGAGAAGTCGCCCATCAAGGGAGCTTCCTTGGTTAAAGCACCAAATGTTAGTATAATCAAAGAGCCCATAAAACCATTAGAGCAGTCAACAAAACCCAGCAAAAGCTTTGAGGTGGTAAAGCCTTTAAATTCGCCTCCGTCATCTAGTTCTGCTCCTTCGCGCCCTGTGCTGCAAAGAAATAAGAATAGTCTTCAGGAGAGTAAACCACTGAATGTTTTAGTGTACTCGGATAGCGCTAGTGCCCGGGAGTCTACTCTAGCCACTCTTCAGCAGCTGCTGGAGCATAATGTGTACACCATCTATCCGCTGATGCCACAGCAAGCGGCTCAAAAACATTGGACGGAACAGACTGCGCTTCTGGTTGTTTGTGGATCGGTGGCACCTGGAATCGGTCAGATATTGGTAGATTATTTCCTGCAAGGCGGCAAAGTGCTGAGTCTCTGCTCAGATATTCTTCATTTCATACTTCCCAACTATCGCACAGCGGAGGTAAGTTTTTGGACATTAAAAATAACAATCAACTAATATATAATCTGTCCGTATATTTGTACAGGTTCGAGAGCACGAGTTGGTTCAGTTCTCCTATGACAAGTGGCAGCGGGTCAAGATGATGCATCACATCTTCTGCTACCAGCCATCGCCGGTTAAGAAACACTTCTCCACGGATAGCGAGGAGTCAACCAAGTCGCATTCACGAAAACCGTAAGTAAATATCCCTATTTCCCAACCACACTGAGAGCAGCAGACTGACAACCTTCAATACATATTGCTAGCCCTGCTGATCTTTATTATAAATAGATCATTAACTGACTAACAAGTATAATCGAAACTGCATGTTTTATACACCCAATGATACGCCCTATTTTATAAATTGCTTATTGCATATGCGGAGGGGACTTAAGTTGTGGTAAAAAGGTTTTTACTATTTTTATTTTTTCTTATTAGAAAATTTAACTGAATGTCAGCTACTTAAGAAGACAGAAAATAAATAACTGTGCTTATAATAAACCATATTTATCTAATTCCAATTCTTCGTTTATTTCAAATGTTCCATGCTAAAATTGGTCTCGTGTTCTGTGAATATGGCCTTCTTTTCTATTTAATTCGGCGTTCATGAAAAACCATCGTCATTCCTTTTCGAATTTGCACCATGTAAAATTTTATTCTGTAAATTCCTTGAATGAACTATTCTTTGCAATTAATTTACTTATTATATTATCATTATTATTTATCATTTGCATTTTCATTATTCCCTTCGCTTGAAATGTATTTGAATGAACTCATCTCTTTTCTGTCTGCGTGATCGCTTCCTTACCTACCCTTTTATATCAATCTATAAATCTCTGTGTGTGCTTCTACTTGTGTGTGCTATCACTATTATAATCCTACCTCCCATTAACCAAAATAAAAACATAAACAAAAAAAAACAAAACAAAATCAAACCACGATACGCTGCTCAGAGCTCTAGTATGTCCAAGGTCCATGGAACTGAAGGATCTGGCCGGCCACAGCCACGAATTAGATGTCCAGGTGCTGGGCACTGAGGAAACCTGGAATACTCCCAGCTTGATGTTGGCCAAAAGCCTGCAGAGCGGTGGAAAGGCTGTTTTTTCACAGGTGTTTCCTTACTATCAGTTAAAATTTTTTTAACAATAATAAATGAATTAATATCCATCAGGTTCATTTGGAAATGAGCCCCAGTGAATTTGAGTCGGATGAAATGAAGTACTCCATTCTGAGGGAAAACGAACACACTCGCCTTGAGATCTTTGCTGATCTCTTGGGGAAGTACTTGGATGTGCAAGTCCATTGTGGAGACTCCGTTGATCAGCCTCATCCTGGAGTAGTCTATCAGCACGCTTATTTTTTGGGACGCCATGAAGTGAGTAATCCGTCGTATTTTTGGCAAAAAGATTAATTATTTCCCTCCCCCTTTAGGCGAAGTTTGAGCTTTTGGAGAAGCTGCGTCTGCGTTGCAGTGGTTCCGACAACGTCATAGCAACGCCCAAGCTGACGATGAAATTCTGTAGCAGGGACGACAAGCCTCCAGTGGCAAACAATAATGTGCTGCCCATACTGATACATTCCTGTCCTGAAGATTTCTCCACAGTGGAATATTTTGATGTGCGCACTTTTTATTTAATCAAAGCATTGACATTTAGATATGCCCCTTCTTTTATAGCACCTTAAAACCGAGCATATTGGACGACTGGTCATATATGCACCAGTTGTGAGCAGTTCCATGCACGTCATAAACAATTTGGAACTTATAAACGGTCTAGCTGTGCTTCCTGTGCAACAGACCTCGGGAGTCGGACGGAGCAATAATCAGGTAAATATTTGAAGTCTTGGGATTGAAGTCTATGAAGTGACCACCCTGCTGTGCTCTTTCAGTGGCTAAGTCCCCTCGGCTGTGCCATGTTCTCACTGCAACTCCACGTGGCCATGGATTCGGCTTTGGGATCTAGGCTGCCTCTTTTGCAGCATATAATTGGTGCGGCGATTGTCAATTCTCTACGAAGTCATGAGCAGTACAGGGTGAGTATATAAAAATATGTTATAATAACCTAGAGAAACTCAGCTGAAAAGTTCATTAGATTGATAAAAGAATTTATTTAAAGTTCCTTCCACTTGGTTGGAATAAACATTAATGAATAATTTGGCTTTAGTTATAAGTTTATTTGACATTTTTCTGGATTCCGTTTTTATTATAATGGACACATCCATTAACTATATACATCTGTCCATACATAATTCACAATATATATTTATTTAAACACTATTTCCTCATATACACTTCTGTATATACACATACACATATATATAGTTTTGCTTACACATAATTAACAATTTAGAAATTGCTCACCTGATTAACGTTTACATTAATATTTGCCACAGTGCTTGTTTGTTTGTATATGTATGTCTATGCCTTCTCAGTTTGCTCCTTCTCTTTAACATTTAAACGTTTTGTCTTTTTCGAGTTAGCATTTGTTTTGCCTTTGTTTCCTTTGCTCACAACTGCAACTATATTGCAACCGATGCTGTATACATAATTTAATTTTAATCGTTTTAAAATCGTTTGCTATAATTTGTAGTTACGTTTAAATATTTACAATCTTTGCTTAGTTCCTCAGAACCTAGGATAGTTAACTGCTTGGAAAGAAGGTGAGCTAGTTTAGTTAATCGGTCAACAGTGTATAAGACGTTGACAGTGACAGTGACCAGGTAGCAGCTCCCTCAGAACACGGACTCCGCTGATCGGGAGAGGTTGACGGGATGGGAGGGACTACGCGCCAGACGCTTCTTGGGAAGGTGTTCCAGCAACGACAGCAAACGTGCGAATTGTGGTCGATGCTCCTTGTCATAGGTCCAGCACAGCATCAGCAAGTCCTTGACATCCCGTCCGGACTGCAGGTTGGCAAGCGATTGCTTCATCCCTCGGCCCACCTGCCAGATGATTGACTCCGCCGGTTGGTCCTTAAATGTGAACTCACCGCAAATTAGCTCGTACCACACTGTCCCAAAAGAGTAGACATCAGAGTAGGGTGTAAATTCCAAGCACTCGCCGCGCGGCTTTTCCGGCTGCAGTGCCCGGATGAGCTCCGGCGCTAAATAGCACAACCAGTTGTGGGGCACCCCCAGGCCCATATCACAGTAGAGCAGCTTGGTGGAGCTGAACAGACCGAAGTCCGTGATGATCACCTTGCCGTTCTCGATGAAGATGTTTTTCGTACGCAGATCCTTATGGATTATTTCCCTTGCGTGCAGGTAGCCCATGCCCTGGGCGATTTGCTGGGCTATTAGAAGAATCCTGTTCATTGCAAACTTCTCATGGCGTTGATGGATGTACGTGTACAGTGTGTTGCCCTTACACAAAGAAGTTACAATTGCCAAATAGGGGGGATTCATGCAGGCACCCATGAAGAGCACCAGATTCTCGTGTCGCGTATTTTTGAAATTGGCCACTTCGCTACGAAAAGTCTCCAGCATGTGCTCGTCTTGCAGATAATCCTCATTGAGAAGCTTTACTGCCACATCTCCATGCCACAGGGCTCGGTGCACAGTGCCGAAGCGTCCTTGTCCGATCCGCTCAAGCAATCGCAAATCGCCGTAAGGAATGTCCCATTCTTTCAGAGAAATTGAGTTTTGTCGCCACTGCCCCGAATCTCCGTCTTCCGTTGAATCCACTCGAACGGGCGTCCTGTCCGAATCCGTGCTGGCACTTCCAGACAAAGACACTGTTTTGTCGCTGTCATTTGATTTGTGGGTATCCGTGTACTCGCTGGTGAAAGGCGTCCTCTTATCAACTCCGGCTGTGCTCAGCTTACGAGGAAAGAAACTGCTGGTGCTGGTGGAGGTTGTACTGTTGACCAGGCTGCCCGTTACAGTCGCGACACTTGAAGCATTCGATATTTGGCTTCCGATTAGGGAGTTCGTGTGCCCGTTGGAACTGCTCACTAGACTGTCCATTCCATTGATGGTAATAGGCGCAGGCGGAAACTGCTCTTGCACTGATTCATTGGATATAATCATATCGCCTCCGCTACCGCCACTACCCGTGACCGTCACGTTGGGAAAGTTAAATTGACTCTGTTGATGCTTGCCCAGTGATGGAGTAGGTACCAGATTGGGACGGGAGCCAGCCTGATCGAGCTCACGCTCCCTTTGGTGGAACAGCGCCGGACTACTCGGTGTGGAACTGGTACAGCTGGAGCTAGGCGAACTGCTATCACCGTGCTGCTGATGCAGCGGTTTGCCCAGAGTTGTCTTTTTAACCAGCGGTGATCCCTTGGCCGCTCCGTGTACATGTGGCAAACTGGCATATCCACCCTGTTCCTTAATGTGCCGAAACTCATCTACATACTCCCGTGGAAGTCCGCAGGAAGGCGGCACGTGCGGAGCGCATTGCTTGTGGCAGATGTACTTGCAGTCGGTACACTTCAGACAACGGGAAAAGACCTGCTTCTGGCACAATGTGCAAGTTGCCATGAATCCCATGACCTTGCTAAAGCGATGTTTGATGGCATGCCCCATGCCCACGTGGCCCACGCCCGGGGAGCATGGAACCATCAGCACGTTGGAGTTACTTCCTCCCGAACTTGCATTAGTATTTGCGTCAACGAAGATGTCTGAGCTGGCGGAGCTGTGGCTATCGGGGCTAGGATCAGTGGGCAAACGATTGCGTGCTGGTTGCTCCCCGTCCACCTGCACTTGGCTTTGGTTCAGCAGAGTCTGGTGCTTTCTGGCAGGTGGAGGTGTACCGCGACTCCTCTGCGGTGTGCCATTAAGGCTGCTACTTACTCCGCTGGAAGGCGTAAAGGGCGAGTTTGGTGGCGAGGGCGTAAGAGTTAGTGTCAGCTGGGAACCCTGTGTGCTGTTCAGTTCCTCCGTCGCTGTAGGCGATTGACGACCGCTTCTGGAGCTAGTTGAATTGACCAGAGTGGTGTTCTTCCCTTTGCTACCGTGCTGGCGATGATGGGATCGCGGGGAGGCGCTTGAATTTTGGCCTAGTCCTATGTTTCCAACGCTGCCACGATGAATGTGAATGGGCCGGTCCCAAGAGTCCCAATGCCACTGCTCTGGATCGTTGTTGCTAGCCGCAGTTCCGCTCTCCAAAGACTCCATGCATTTTCTCAGGTTCTGCATGGCCCTGGTCAAGCGCCGCAGCTCTTCTTCCTCTTTCTGACTTGGGCTGTCAGCCAGTAGCTGACGGATTTCCTCGTCACTCAGTCGCAGGCTCTGCTCAAGAGTGGTCAAGCGGGCGAGGCACGTGGTAAGGGTCTCTTGGCTAAGACCTACCACTCGGAGCCACTGTCTGAGTTCATTGCCCGTGGCGTGAGGTAGCAATCCGTTGGCCGGGATGCGTTCGTTTAACCGCATCTTCGCCAACAGCAATTCAGAGAAGTAGCGCACCAGTTTTGACTCCAGGCAGCGAATCTCCTGCTGCGTCAGCGTGGAACTAGTTGCGCATTGCGTGCGCAGGCCCTCCAGATGGTTGGCCGAGAGATCAATCATGTCCTGGATGATGATCAGATTGCTGTCCACGGACAGCGAACCGGAGACGGGATCGTTGGCATTGCTGGAGACGGAGTCTGTTCCGGATGCGGGGGCGTTATTGTTGCTGCTCATCCTGCTCTTACGCGTTGGAGTGGAGTCCGATTGATTTTTTCAGACGTCCTCACGGAGACTCGACAATTCGATGAGACCAATGACCGGGACACCGCCCCGCATTGTGTCCCACTTCCGGCGACCTTGGCGTTTGCAGCAGCTGCACTGACTTTCGCACACTCACGCCCGTAACTGAAGACGGCTCAAGAAATGCGAAAATACAATAATTTTTACAATTTCTTCGACTGTTGTTGAAATTTCTCTACACCCAAGTGCAGCGCATCGAGCCAGTGTGACCGTCCGTAGAAGTCCCGTATATTGCTCTGTTTTTCAAAATGTACTAAAAAAAACCCTAGTAGGGCATCCTGAACCTTGGTCGGACCAAAAATAAAATGTTGGGGACTCATAGGCAAAATTATAAATGTATAAAATAAGAAGATGAATTATACAATATTTAATATGTGGTCGCATTTGAAGTAACATAAATTCAGACATTCGATGTTTTGTAAGTTAAAGTTAAGATAAGTAGTTGAGAATTTAAAGTAAGGAACATAGGTTTCAACAAATTTATAAAATGTAGTTTGTACCCTGAATTGGAATAAGTTGCCCGTATTTAATATTTCAGTAATATTAGGCCAGAGTCGGTCGTACATAAATGTTTTCACTTACAGTTGCTCGCAGCTTATTTCGTGCAGTTAAAAGTTAAAAGTTTGATTCTTTATTCTTGCTAAACTACAAAATAACCAAACAATTTAAACTCATTTTTTAACTCGGAATATTAACATGTTTATTAAACTAAAACGATTTTCTGAATCATAAAAGAGGTTAAGGACAAAACGGGCAAGAAGTGTAGTCGTCGCCCACTCCAGGGGCTGCCATACAGTCCCAAGCCATGACGTGACCGCCACCATATTTGACCGTGGGTTTGAAGTGCTTAATTTCCAACTCTGGAAAAACTCGCCGCTACTCAAATTGTCGTCCATCTGAACAAAAAATGTTATATTTGGACCAGTCAGCAAAAATTACGTCATTCCAGAACGAAATTAAAAGTATGTGCTCCTTTGTAAACTTTAGCCGGGCAGCAATATTTCTCTTACTGAAAAATCACTGATTCCGTGCTACTCGGCTATAGAGTTTATTATCGCGCAGCACACGACGCACCTTATCAGGACTACACTTCTTGCCCATTTCCTCCTCGATCTCTGCAGCTAATTTTGGAGCCGAAAGCTTGGGGTTTTCCTTAATTTTCCGATCGTTTTCAATTTTACTAGGACAACGGTCAGAAGCATTCAGAAGGAAATGTAAAGTCCTGGCTTATCTGAATTTGCCCTCTGGCGTTATAACGCCAGTACAGTCTCCAGATTTAAATGTGATCGAAAATTTATGCGAAATATTGGACATCGCTGTAAGGAAGCGGAAGATTTTGAACAAAAACTGTTCTTATGGAAGAATGGGAAATTTAATGGAAACCACTAAAGTGTTAGCTCGAAAGTTTGGTTTTTATTTAATATTTCTTTTGTTTTTATGATTAAGAAAATCGTTTCAAGTAATTAACATGTTAATATTTCCAGCTAAAAAACTGCGTTTAAATTTTTTTATCTTTTTTAGTTTAGCAGGAATAACGACTCAAACTTTTATTAGATAACTGCACGAAATATGTAAGCTGCGAGCCACTGCATGTGCTTACGACTTCCTTTGTTATTATAAGCAATATTGTATTGTATATTTCTTGTATAAAATATTTTCAGGTATTGGATGTTTCCATAAAGTGGCCAAATGATATATACGCAAATGGGAACCAAAAAATCGGCGGCCTTGTCATTAACACCACTCTACAAGGCTCACAAGCAATCGTCAATATTGGTAGTGGAATCAATTTAAATAACTCAAAACCAACTGTATGCATTAATGATTTAATAAGAGAACACAATGTTCGCGTGCCGAATAACAAGTTATCTATGCTTAAATATGAGCTATTTATTTCCATGATATTTAATGAAATCGAAAGACTTTTGGGAGAAGTACAAAACGGAGACTTTGATAGTTTTTATGCCTTATACTACTCGCTCTGGTTACACAGGTAGGAATAAAAATCAAACTAGATCCTAACGTAATACTTAAAACTATTTTATATTTATAGCGGTAAAACGGTCAAGATTTGCCTTCAAAATGAACAGGAAAGAGAAGCTGAAATTGTGGGAATCGATGATTTTGGATTTTTAAAGGTGAAGCTACCCACCGGAGCCATAGAAACCGTTCAACCCGATGGAAATAGCTTTGATATGTTGAAAGGATTAATTATACCAAAATACCACTAGTTGATTGAAAAACTCCCATTATACCCCGAATCCACGTACTAGGGGAATTAGCAACTTGTATTTTTTAGTCGCATTTACATAGGGAAATTTATAAAAAATTGATTACGTATGTATGGATGTGTTTACTTCTAATTACACCGTGTTTTTCTTCTAAAGTGGCTTAACCGTATTTATTCTTGCTTGAATTTGAGAAAAATGGATATAACCCAATATGAATTTTATTAAATTGAATACTGCCAAAGAAAAATATGTCAATGAAAATCTCCAACATTCAAAAATCTCCAAAATTTATCTCTAAATAATAGGTATATGCCGCATATATCCCAGTGTTTTGAAAATACTTATACTGTTCGTTATTAGTGTTATTGCCATCGATTTCTCTACGTATGGGCGTTTTTTAAATTCGACTTTAATAAAGACGTTTGCTTATTACGGACCTCAATATTTGGTTTTAACCTTTGGAATTGATTATAAGCTGTAGATACACCTCTTTAGTTTTTATAATAATTTCTAAAGTTTTAGAAAATATTAAATTAAATATTTGTTTACTTCATTATTAAAACAAGTTCAACGGTATCTTTTAAAAAACTTACTAGTACATTGTGGCATTGTTAGCACTGGCCAGTTGGTATATGTTGGTATTTTTCGAGTTATGTAGGCTGGTACTACTATTGCTTAACTGGAGACGAAAATTGTGGAATAAAACTATATCTGAGACATAAGAATTATGTCACAACGCAATCATCGAGTGGACCGTTTCGCCCAGATGACGAAGCAGGAGGAGATCATAGCTAAGAAACGGCAGGAAATCCTCGAAAAGCAAAAAACGGCGCAGTTGGCAAAGGCGGTGGCAGCGGCTCAAAACCTAGCAGCGCAACTAAAAACAGAGACTCCTGCTGTAAAAACTACGACAGCCGAAGAGGAAGAGGAGGAGGATGCCCAACACCAGGACATCACTGCTCAAGACATATCCCTCACCGCTGGTGCGGAGGGTAATGGCCTGGAAACGATTCACACCGAAGTCACGGGAAGCAAGGGAAAATCGGACGACCCAGTGGCCCACAAGTCGCTGAATAGCTTCACTGGCAAGACAGGGAAGATCACATTTGGACAGAAGCGACAGCAGCTGCCACAACCCAGTGTGGAACAGCCGCCTCCAAAGGTAAAGAACACATTCTGCAACGATGGTTCCTTTCTGGAGAATTTCAAAAAAATACTCGAAAAGCATGAGAAGCCTCCGCAGCCTATACTGGTTCCCCCCGTTCCAGTGCCAAGGTGAGTACAATTACGATTTTTTCCGTGCGGACACTTATTTCCTCTTAGTTGCAGCGCTGAGGAAAACAAACTTCTAGAGACAGACACCGCTGAGAACGGCAGTCCCCATTTAGAGGCGGCCATAGCAATCAGCTCTGCAGCAGCCTTGGCCACATCCATTACGGTGACTAGTTCGGCGCCAACTCACCTGGCTTTTGGGTTGCCCGTCCAGGCAGTGCAGCCCCCGCCACCTCCACCGTTCGCCTTCAATCCCACGCTTTTGCAACAGGGACCACCGCAAATGCAGCTGCCAGCTGCATTTTTTCACGGCCACTTGCCGCTGCACCTCCATCCCGCGGCAGTCGCTCCTCCGCCTCCGCCGCCACCACCACAACTGCCAATCGCACTGACCAACATGGGGCAGATTTACATGCAGCTTGGACCGACTCCAGTGGAAGCCATGCAGCTTAATACCATACCTGCTCCCAAAGAGTTTGACTTAAATGCGATACCCAAGCCACAAATAAACCTTGAGGCTATACAAATGCCCACTATCGGTGGTCATTCAGCAGAACAGCTAGGTCTCTTGCCGGAGCACATGGGAATATCAGTCAATCCTCACCCACCGCCACCGCCGCCACCTGTTTTGGAGGACTTGGAGCAACAGCAGCAGCAGTCACATTTGCAACAAGTTGGTCCTTCTCAGCCTGCACAGCCAACAACTGCAACGCCTCAAGGTGAGTAACATACTCGAAGCACTCCTTGTTGCCTGTTCAGTTCTGTCATTTGTCATACCCTTCACATCAAACATCTATCCTTGCCCTCATCCTAACCTTCTTCCAAATTCCTACTCATTCAATTTGTATAGAACTTTAATCGTTGAGCACGATTTTAAAGCAATTTATGTAGTTTTTTCAGAAACGTGCATACAATTGCCAACGTGCTTAGAAAACCTAATTGCACTGGTCGCGGAAAACGGTGAAGATTATGAAGATAAAATACGTTTGCATAGAAGCGAGTTGCATCCAGCCTTGTGGTAAATGACCTAAACATGTTTTAACTGGGACTTAGGCTGGCACCCGAGGGACGGATTGATGACCTGGGGCGGAGTGGGGCATAAAGCTAAGGATTTTAAGTTATTTGCACATATTGCTGAGTTCTAATTAGGTAAACTTTTTTTTTTTTTTTTGAAAAGGCACTAGGCCAGTTTTTGTTTGTTTGGAGCTCATATGCCATTTGATAGAAATATATTATATTTTTCGAAGGCCAGTGGAGCTACATTGATAATTTTAGATTTTTTGGTTTTTGGAATAAAATAGTCTTTCGATGTCCTTTCGGGTTTAGAAATTATTTAATACTAAAAGTATATTTGATTGCTTAAAATCATTACACTTGGCCTATAAAATTAGATTTCTTCTTTTGATCCGTTTGAACTAAATTGTCAAATTGAATATTTTTATAGAATCCGAAACATAGACTTTTTTTTTTAAATTATTTTTCGACCAAACAAAGTAACTTTGGGGCCGAATAAGAGATAGCCAGGCCAGCTGCGCAGACTCATCGAACGCACCGTGATCCGTCGTTCCTCGATCATCGTCTAAAGTCTGGAGGAGCCAGCCGGCGGATGCCAATTTAAGATCTCAAAATAAACCGCTAATGGGGAGCCTCAAACAGTTACTCATATAATGTCTTTGTTCACGTGACTAGCATCGAGCACTTTTCATTGTACGTTTCACTTCTTTTAAATTTTGATAATAGGTTTCTTTATGATAAGAGCTGCGAGCAGTATCGAAGCTATCGCGCCCAACTTCTTGACTACGAGCGGCAACGCGTTGAGCGGCAAAAGGAGCGGGAGCATCAGCAGCTAAACCGGGATCAACAGCCCCAATCCAAGGAGCAAGAGGCTCAGCCACAGAACGAAGAGCAGCTTAGCAACTCAGCAGCCGACAAGTACGACCCTGAGTCGGCCATCAGTGCAGATTTTGACTCGGACGATGAATACATGCGGGGCATGATGGATCGCAACCGGGATAACATCAAGCGTCGCATTGAGTGCCGCAACGAGTTAAGCGACGAAGAACGACGCGAGCGAGAAGAGGCTGCTGCCGCCGGAGGAGCTCCAGATGGCGATGATCTGGACGATCAGGAGGACAAGGAGACTCAAAGGCAGCGGCGGAAGCGCGAGCGGAAAAGCCGCTGGGGCGAAAAAGAACAACAGTTACCCACCTCAAGTGAGTTTTATTGCTTAAAGGCCAGTACTCATATACATTTGCGTTTCTAATGACTTCGAGACCTACCAAATTGAAAATTTCTGTTAAATTTCTGATGCTTGTAAATGATGATTGTAAATAACCATCTAATGCAGCTATAGGCCATATTTACACGTATATACGTATAGTAATGATTAAGAGACATCTCTTGAAAGGTTTATTTGACGTGGAAAATGAAATTTCGTAAAGTTTAAAGGTTCAAAAATTTAAACGAAAATTCTACAATAATTCACTTATTAAATTCTTTACTTAGTGTTATAAGCATTGTAAATTTATTCTGTAATCTTTAATATGTTAAACAGGCACCTCGGGAAACTTTGGTAACCAAAACAAACCCATGCTTAGCAACATCACACGTACGGATCCCGCCCTTTTGCAGTATGCTCGTCTCAACTACGGATCTACACAGCTAAGCGAGGAGCAGTGGAAGCAGTGTGAGGAGCACTACAAAGTAAACCTGTTGTATCAGGACATGATGCGTAAGCGTCAGGAGATCGATCGCCTGGCCCGCGGCGGAAAATTTAAGTATGAGTATGACTCGGACGAAGATATTGAAGGTGGAACTTGGGAGCACAAGTTGCGCACAGCAGAAATGGAGGCCACGTCACTGTGGGCTAACGCTCTGACCAAGCAAAGCGAGGGAAAGCATCACATTGGCGACTTCCTGCCACCCGAGGAGCTCAAAAAGTTCATGGAGCAGTACGAGGCAAAGAAGAACAACCGGCAACCGGATCTGAGCGACTACAAGGAGTACAAGCTTAAAGAGGACAACATTGGATTCCAAATGTTGCAGAAGCTCGGCTGGAAGGAGGGACAAGGCTTGGGTCAGGACGGTGCTGGAATCGTAGACCCCGTCAACAAGTGGGTTGTTCTTTTTTTTCGTAATAGTTCAAAGTGAAAAATGAGTTTAATAGGGCTCCGCAGCGAGATGGAAACCAAGGACTTGGGGTAAGCAGCGCTGCCCAGCCAGAGGACTGCGACAATGAATACGACGCCTACAGGAAGAGAATGATGTTGGCTTATCGTTTTCGTCCGAATCCTTTGGTAATTAAATTTCTATATATTATATTGATTTATTAGGCTGATAATAATAAAACCTTTTCTTTATTGTTCAGAATAATCCCCGACGCGCCTACTACTAGAACTACCTTAAATTATCACCGCTCACATTATCCCAATATCCTCAGTTCGCTTACTGAACGTAAATTTCTGCTGAATAAAATGTCATTGTTTAAAGTAAACAACGGCAGCCAGTGTTATTTAATGGTTGTATTTATTCAGAATATCTCGTAATTAACTTAAATCTATTGCAGGTGAAACAGATCTCACGATGGTTCGAATCTTGTCGATCTAAATCCGTATTGAAACCGGATAAAAACTGTTTCACACAGAACATCACTAGGGACTATCGTCAAGCGTTTAGGGGTTCGTTCATATAAAAGAGTAAGTAGTAGTGTGAGTCTCTTAGAGCAGGAGTCTGGGCTCTGGAATTCTACTTTAATTGGGTTGCAAGTGACCACTTTAGCTCCAGATGGGGGCTCGATTCTACTGGGAACTGGGCGGAACACCTAAACGCTAATAATACTAAGTTGTACTCGAACTGGAAGCGAGGGACTATTCTAAGAGTAAAGCGTCAGCACGGGCGTCTGGTTGCCGCGGGCCAATGCCACCGGACATTTCATGTCCGACGTGAGCATCTCCAGCCAGGACATATACAGTGGTGCCGAGATGGCCTCCTAAGGAAAACGAAAATGTTAGTATGTGTTAATTAGTAGTTGCCTCTAAATTTCTTACCTTGCGTGGCATGGGTAGGGACATGACCACCAACGCAGCGTTCGCCGAATGCTTTACCACCAACTCATGGATGCGTAGCTGGCGATTTGTCTTCTCGGACATGCTCTGCAGCTCGTCGTCTGTAATGCCAAACTCGTTGCGAGCTCCGCGGCGGAAGGGCTCAATTAAACGCTTGTGCTTCAGTAGTGTGTCAGCCCGCGGCTGCTCGGAAACGCCCTTCAGCATGATGAGCTCCGAGTACTTAATGCGGAACTTGGTCAGTAAGCTGGCCATGCTGTGGGTGGGAAAAACAAAAGGTTTAATATCGATATATCCTTACCTTTAAAGTTTAAGGAATGATTTAAAATGGTTACCTTTTTTCTTCCTGCTCCTCATCCTTTCCGTGGCACATTGCGAACACCCTCAGCCTGCAATTTTGCCAGTGGGAGCGCATGGAGATTATGTATGGCAAGAGAATCGTCAGACCTGCATGTCGAATGATTATATTATTAGAAGGGGTCACTTAGAGAGAATAGAACTCGGCACCCACCTCCGTCGTCGTACAACCAGAAGACATCGATTGTGCCCTTGGGCTGTTTACGTGTGAATATGGTCATGGCATCCAGGAGATTTTGCGGAATATCCGATCCGCCCTTGGTGTGGTAAGTCACGGCTGGCTCATCTGAGCTATTCACCTTGTAGCTGCGCGAGTTTCGCTGCATGTTGGGCATCGGCGCTGGCTGGGGTATTGTGAACGAGGAGTTGGGACTGTCCATGCCGGCCAGGTTTAGGTTGGAGTCAATGTGCAGCAGCTCGGAGGCAGCATTGGCTGCCGGCATCAGTTCGTTAGTGAATCCTTGGGCATTGGCGGTGTGCATGTGACCCATTCCATTGGCCGGCAGCGTGACTTCAGAGCTCAACTCCGAAAAGTCTAATCCGTTGGGCAGGCGGAGAAGTGCCACTCCCATGCGCTGTGAGAAGGCATTGCTGTGGGAAATATCGACTTGGTGAAGGATCCACGTCTTTATTATGAGTAAGATTTACTTACTACAAAATGGAAAAGTAACTCTCAACCTCCTCTTTGCGGCAGCGATTCCAGTCTGGTTTGTAGCCCACCAGGACTATGTTTGGAGACATCTTGCCAAAACCCGTGGACTTTGTCAAAGCATTTATTCCGTCCTCCAGGCTGAACCCATCGATCACGTTATAGAAGGCCTTTATCTTGCGAGCATCTAGGTACTTTTGGCCATCCTTCACCAGGTTCTGACGGTTCTTGTAGCCCACTCGCACCTATAATGGGGGTATAAAAGTAAGTATTCAGGGTGATATATTTATGAAATAAATATGTGGTAATAGAAAAGTTGTTTTTGGTTATTTGTTAATTACAAAAGGTTTAAATTTATTATGTGATTCCAATTCTTGTAAGACCATTAATAAAAATGCTTAGAGATTCTAATTTTGTTTAGACATCTCTCTCTTCTTTGAATCGAGAGTCAAATATTAAAAAGTTGTAAGCCACAATTTAAATCTTATTTACTTACCGGAATAATGTTAGCAACGAACATGAGGGAGTTGTTCTTGGTCAGCAGATAGCCAAAGTCTACCAGTGGAGGCCTGGCCTTGGGATCGCCGGAAAGCACCAACACCTGCGGATGGTAGTTCTTGACGTGATCCGAGACGTTCTGCAGACGGTGCACAGCCATTAAAGCAGCCTTGTACTGCTGTGCTTGCGTGGTTGATCCCCAGTTGGCCTCCGGCTTGCGGTACATAACCACCAGGTACAGCGCGAAGATGATGCCGAATGTGATGATGGCAGCCACGTAGTTGATCAGAAACATAATGGCCACGCACATGGCAAACCCAAAAAGACTTAACCAGGCGTTGTAATACTTGAAAGTGGGTCGCCATCCCAAGGGCTTTACAAAGGCCGCGTGGAATGTGCAGAAGTTGATGAGGGCGTAGGAGGCCAGATAGAAGGTTGAGATCAAGGGGGCGATCAAGTTAAGTTCACCGATCAGCAAGAAGCCTGTGGTGATGAAGAAGGTGAGGACGTAGCCGCGGTACGGTTCTCCGTGCTTTCCGTATGGCTTCGAAAAGAAGATCAGACCGGGGTAGATCTGGTCAATGCCCAGGGCCTGCACCAATCTGGGCACGGACAGGAGATTAGTCAGAGCCGTACTTAGCGTGGCCGCAAAGCAACCCGCGTAGATCAGCGGACCCCACAATGACATCTCCTGCATCATTTCGTAAGAGTTGAAGAGACCCCAGGTGCAGTTGCCAGTGGCCATGCAGGGCAGTTCAGACGAGACCAGAGTGCCGTTGACAAGGTCTGCCGGATTGCCAGAGGCATCCCTCACGGCAGCTCCACCGGCAAAGAGAACGAAAAGGGCATAGGAAGTCATCGAGATGAGCAGCGACCAGAAGGTACCCTTCGGAATGGCTGCTCCGGCATCCTTGAGATCTCCGCAGATATTCGCGCCTGCCTGAATACCCGTAACGCTGGGAAAGAATATCGCGAACACGCTGAAAAAGTCGTGATGCACTCCCTCTGCATAGCGATAATCCGAGCCGAAGTTCTCCTTGAACGTATTCCCTAGAACATGTTGTTAGGTATATTGATGGTTTTTTTTTTGACATTTTACAACTTACATGAGAAGCCCACGAAACCCCTTGAAATGTGCTCTTCATTGCCTTGTGGGCCAATAGCTGCCCCGATTAGGAAGTTGAAGATGGCCAGGACAATGGTTACGATCAGGAAGTTCTGTGCCTTCGTCTCCCACTCCATGCCCACGCAGCAGATTAGAATAAGTACCAAAACAGTCACGGATCCAACGATTCGGATGTCATTGATGCCATTGTCGATAATTTTCAGGTCATTGTTTTCTGAAAAGGGGTTGAGGATATGTTAAAATTTTACAAAAATAATGGTTCGAAAGAATCGAACCATGACTAAGGTTAGTTAATAATCGGTATAACGGGATATATCAGGTATGGAAAATATATGTTCTTCAGGATTACATCCCCTTTTTTTAGAAGAACTAATTTTTACTCACTCAATAAAACATTTAGCGATTCGCAGAAGCCGATGGTGTTCATTGAGGCCGAAACGGCGTTAGCGAACGCAAACACCACGCCAACCGACGCCCCAAACTCGGGCCCCAGCGAACGGGATATGATGAAGTAGACTCCGCCACCCTTGACCTCGCCGTTGGTGCTAATGGCTGACAGCGAGAGCGTCGTGATGACGCAGACCACCGCGGAGATCGTAATTATAATCAGCGACTGCAAGATGCCGGACTCGGCCACCACCCAGCTGAGGCGCAGGAAGAGCATGACGCCCCAGATGTTCAGTAGACATGGTATCAGGACTCCCACAATCCATCCTAGCTTAATGTGCCCGCCAGTGGCTTCCGGTTCGGGTTCAGGAATAGTTATGCTCTAAAAAGAAGAATAATTTATTATTTCACTTTCTATTTAAATAAATATTATTTTCTCTTTAATTGAAAATAAATATTGAAGATGCATCTACTGATCAACTATAACTATGATGTTTTATCAATCCAGCATGTTAATACCTAAAGCATATATTGAAAGGCCATCATCAGACTGCTAAATGCGGCAATCATTATTTGCCTGATAATGGGATCTTGACATAGGTAGCATTCAATCAAAAGTATGTTAAATATTTGATTGAATTAACATCAGTATTTTTGTAAACTTCGACGACTCGAACAGCTGTTTCGGTTGGATATTTTTCGGAATTACTCATGCGAAATGTGTGCAATTTAGTACTCGTATTCAATTAACGACCCGTCGACGCCAGCCAAAATAACAGCCACAACCACCGAAAGCAGAGCAACAACCAGATTATGAGGAGCTTCATATTGCTTTTCATTCTCATTAAAGTTCTCTTTTATAACCGCACTAAAACTCGAAACATTATAAAAATGTCCAAATAAAAGCTGAAGCCACGAAGTTAACTATTTACCATTAACCTGAAAGTATTGTCTTTGTTCAGGGTTAAGGCTTGTCCAATAGGGTGGCAAAATCTATAAATAAAGACTACTACATCTATCTTAACTTTAATGGGGAAGTGACAGTAATGTGTCAATTAAACCTAACAATGGCGTTATTAGTTGAGTTTTTATCGTAGGAATGTGCAGTAAAAGATTCCCTTTCCTTAAAGCTCTAGCTACCATTTTTGTGGTCTTTAAGTTTTTAAATAGAGCCATTGTTTTATTTTGTTTTTTAAACTTGAAATATGGCATTCGTTGTCTGAAGTCATTTTTTTAAGTTTTAAGTTAAACTTACGCATGCTAAGAAATAATATTAGTTTTGAGTACTTAATGGGGCTATGAAGTTTGAAGTTTTTAATTGCTTAATAGGCCATACAAAGTCTATGGCTTGTTCATATTTCTATTTAAAGGCGTTAGAATTAAAATTTTTAGATATATAACTGGAATGTTGTCCTTAAACAAGTGTTTAGATATTACTTATTCTTAAAGAAAGTGTATGTATTCTATTGTGTTAGAACACATGCCTAATTTCATTCGGTGTAGATAAAATAAATAAACAGAATTTAATTGGGTAGAGAAAAGTACAAATGTGACTCATTACATCTGATACTATAGTTTAGAAACCTTGAACTTAAAAAAGTCATCATACTATAATTTGTTTTCTTTAAATTCTTTTCATGATTCATTAATCGAAATTTGTAAAAGTAAAAACAAAATTAGTTCTCCTGAGCAGTGTTAACCCTACCACACCCTTCAGACTACACAAAAATTTAATGTCAATATTGTTGGATATCTTTTTAGTTCTAAACTAATATAGTTCTATCAACATACGGTTATATTCTCCAATGCTGGAACTTTGCTCCCAACTCAGTACAACCCTCTAAGCAAATAAAAATTCCCTTTAAAGAGGCCATAAAACTGGAATGTTGCTTTCCACTTGACATAACCGAAACATTTTAAATTAAATTCTGTTTTTTATGCCGATCCACAACAAGTGAAAATATTTCCACTTGAAGCAGTATTTATTTATCACATGCGGTAATTTGCGGAGCAGACAATTATGACGCCCTAAAAACTTCCACTGCCTGTGATCAGATCTGGGCAGAACAATTTCTGGCGATTGTGATTGTGATAATTTAATAGATTTACACAAGACATTGCTCCCTTGCCCTTGCGCGGTTATTGTTTCGCCATTTGTCCCACCGATGGAAAGGGGCTCATTTATTTTATTGTTTGCCCACATAATTGAATGTTTTTTTTTAAAACGCGGCCAATTGGAATTGCCTCACGTGGCATGTGGCATGTGGCATGTGGCGGGGGCAGGGTTGGGCAGGACAACATCGATTCTCGGAGGGCAGTGCGAGAACACAACCCTAGAGCGCTCGCACACGCTGCGTATACCCAATGCTGGTTAGTTAGTCTTCCTCGGTGGGTGGTTAATGTTGATTGTTTACACATTTTTGGCGGCTTCGAACGGACGCCAACTCAGACAGACGCAGACATAAACATTTGTACACGTTAAAAAAAGGTTCCTAGCACAAACTTTAAAGTTGAAATACTAAATTATATTGCTGGAATGATGTGTTGGTGTAATGATGTATCAATCAATATATAATAAAAATTGGGTTTGTCTTTAAAAATATACGACTTAGAGTGCCCTGACATCGAAGAAGTTATATTAGAAATACATAATCAATAAAAATACATTTCTTTCCGTGTCTCCTCCAACTCATGCCTTTCCGATGGGAGGAGTGAGGGATATTTGCGGTCTCACTAGTGGGACCCTCTGGCGCTTCCTTCCTTTGTCCATTTCGTTTAGCAAAATACGCATTTGGCTCTACGGTTGTTTTCCCCGTTCAAGTTCTCTTTGTGGTTGTGGTCGATGCGTGGAAATTTTTCGCACCCAAAATTGGAATTGAAATTGGTATTTGTGCTTTATGACAAGGGGGCAGAGTGGGGGAGTGTGGGAGATAAGCCACTTTCTTGGCCAGCTCGTGCCAGTGATTTGAGTTAAGTTAATAGACAAAATGGAGATGAACCAGGGGGCTGAATTGAGGTTGTGGTTATAATCACAATTTCCATAAATAGCTGGAAATTCACTCGGCACAGAATTATTATTAGCTCCAAGACGAGTAAGTTTGTGGCTAATTATGGCTACTGGATCTTAAAGCCGTTGAATTAAGCTAAGATATTTTCCTCAATTTGTAGCACTTTTGAAAATCTTAAGAGGAAATTTCAATACAATAAAGCAAATGCGCAAAAATCGATAAGGCCAAATGAGTTGGGCAATAAATTTGGGAAAATTGCATTTTCATCATTAAAGAAGGAGATTTTCCACAAGTTTTCTACACCCTCGACCCATCGAACAATAGCGGGTAAGTATCAGAAATGCAACACAAATGGGGTAAACATATTGTTATATGCGCCAATAACTTAATGGCTTGTTCGGGGCAGTGGCAATGCGGTAAACAAAGATTTTCCAGCAAGACTTTCGCATTAGGAAATCAATAAAATGGTATAAAAATAGCATCCAGCTCTTTGGCTATGAATTGTAAATTAGAATTGTAATTACAAGTGCAATACAAAAGGAATCTGAAATGGCAAACACGCCACAGGCTGCTCTCTTGATGATGTAAACAATGCCCGGCAAAATGTTCATACGCCGCGTGGTACGGTGAAAGATGTTGATAGTGTCGATATTGCCATTCGGTTTTGACAAATCACCATTGTTGAGAGGTTCGATTGCTTGGGTTTTTAAAACTGCCAAGAACTGGTAATGATTTTTCGGGGTCTCCGACACATCTCGAGTGGGTTCTGTCAGCCTAATTGATTAAATGTGAAGAATAATCAATTGCTCATCCGGAGCGTTTATCAAAATGACGTCCTGTCAGCAGCCTTGACAGGTTCAACACTCGCACTCGTCGGCGGTCCTCGAGTGGATCCTGTTTATGATAAGCAACGAATCAACTAACGTCAATGGCAACAGCCCCAGCAACATCTGCAGGCCGTCGCTGTCAATTTTAATGACACGACAAACTTGTCCTGCATTATCCCAGCCCTCTATCCGGCCGCACACATATGGCAACACAAGTTGCTAGTGAGCTGTTTACCCTCTGTTGGAAGGAGCTACGAGTCCTGCCCCGCTGCTCCTTGAAACAATGTCCATGTGGCAGGGACCATGGCAGATGCATGGCTGCATCTTGTTGACAATTAATTTGGCTTCGACGCTGTCATCGATATCGCCTTGCGCATTATGGGCCATGGATGAATGCGGAAAAATCCACTTAGGACCTCGACGACTGAGTGCAAATCGAATGAAGCTCGCTCGTGTTGATTTTGCCTATTCCCGAGGAGGAAAGTCCTGCAGAAGTAGAAGGAAAATTCCTTTTCTTCAAAGTTTCCAACTCCTCGGGGCAATTGCTTACTTTTATCAAGTAGGGGCAAACGGCTGTAGTATGCTTATACAAAACTAAAGCTGAATCCATCATAGGGAATTACATTCAATATTTGCTTGCCCCGAACTTGTTTTAGTCTCAAAATAAACACAAAGCTTTTCGCTAATATATCTGTCGAATGAGTTGTAATTCTGTGGATAGGTATACTATATCGATTCTGGGTACAACTTGCTTTTATCTTGATACAATGGTCGGCACATACATATTCCGTTCCAATTATTTTCATTAAATATTATATTACCGAAGAACGGGCCATGTTTTCCATATTTTAGGAGCTGCCTTGGAATTCGAATTTCCCCAATGAGCTTGTAATGCAGTTTTTACGATATCTATCATACGCCGTGGTGGCCGCAGAAGCCGGGCAAAGTGGATTAATTAAACAATACAGTAATACAGAAAATATGTAAGAGTGAGAGTGGGGAGGGGAAGGAGAGGAGACAAGGGCGATTCACAGGAAAACTGCTTGACCACCGCCGGACCCCCAGACGTGAGTTCGCTATAGACGCATCAAATTTATTACTCCGGCGATAAACATAAAAACCGTAACACTGGGAGTGCTTATGGGACTCCACTACCCTCCATTATTACCCAAAGCGATAAGCCCAACATGGCTGGTGGGCGGGGGAAGGCTGATCTGAGAAAGTGGGCGACCTTGATAGAGGTATTGGCTGCTTATCTTAAGTGGCCACAACGTCATCGCGATAGAAGCCCTCAAATCTGCTGGCACTGAACATCAATAAACGCTGGGATGCCCGGAAGACGTCATGGAAAACTCACAATTTGCACGTCGGAAATGTGAAAATTGCTCAAGTAAAAAAATCAGAAGACGTATTAATGATACTCAGATATAGATATATGTATGCTAGCACGCATGCTTTAAGGCTGGCCAATGTACGAGTACAATTGGAGGGCCGATGAAAAAAGTTTCGATTTCTGGCTGGATCCATATTTCTTGTTTTGGTTCTGGCTCGCTTCATGCTTTCCTAGGTACTATTTTCGCTCTGCTTTGTTTATTTGCCGAGTACTTGAAATGTTTTCAGAACTGAGTAGGGAACGACTGAAGTGCGCTGCAAGGATTATGCCATGACGAACACTAACCAGATCCCAGACTATGATACCAAGAGAGATACTCGTCGTCCACGGCCGGAACTTTGGCCTATCAGTAATCCCGGCAGAGAAGTGATGGAAAGATTTCTAAATTGGTTTCTCCGACGGTTTCAAGTGCATTCCAATGGCTATGGGCATTCCGATTGTTGGACGAGGTTGAACACATAGTAGCAGTGGGCTATCAACCGATTACAAGATAGCTTGGTATTACGTTTAGAAAATGGCCTACTGATTAGTTTTCAGCTGAAGTTAAAAACATGTGAATTGAAGGTTTTCCAGAGTGTTTATTTATGAATGTGTTTAGCCATTGAAAAAATGTAAAGATGGTCACTTTTTGTAGAGTATCTATCTTAATTCCTACACCACTTATAAGCACTACAACACGTTTCTGGGTTTAAATAATACGCACATGAAAAACATTGAAAATACAATTATTTCTTTCTAAACACCTTTTCCATACGAGTACAGCTTAGTTAATCCAGGACTCATTTAACTAAACACTTTGATTATGCAAACTATTATGGCAACTTAATGAGCTTACGTCACCAATTCAAACTAGGGAAGTGGGAACTCACCTGATCGACCGCCTCTCCTTGCAGTTCTCCGATGGAAGGACGTTTCAGGTTGCGCATGGAAATCCGGTAGTTGTCCAGGCGCGGCAGACTCTCCCTGGAATCACACAGAAAGAGGAAACATCAGATTAGAGGGACTCACTTTCACTTTTGCCGGGTGTTTAGAATTTCCGTACTGGTGAAACGGGAGCAGAACCATCACCGCCTCGGGCAGCATGACTGTTGCCTGCAGAGTGCCGAGCAGAAATACCAAGTACCCCATGCCCAAGACCCACGCCCACTCCGGACTATGCGGCTCTCCGGCGGATTCCAAGTGTATGAACCAAGTTATTTGTGTATACACATAAATAATAAGACAATAAAAACGGCCAGCCGAGTGGTAAAGGTAGCCGAGCAGAAGGTCAGGGGTTCCACGCCGGAATCGAGAAAAATCAAGTTTTATCGGAAAATTCAGCTGGATGGCTAGCCTGCTGGCTAGCTGGAGAGAGAGAGTAGAATGGCCGCCCTCTGGTATGATGTATATTTACTGATCGCCAACGAAAACAGAAACAAAAACAATAACATTAGCCGCAGCCAAAGCTAAAGCAATGCCAAAATATAATTTAAAATCTTAAAAAGGAAAGAACCGGAATGAGGAAGGCAATAATCGTCGAGCACAGTACGGCGCCACGAGCAGCCAATGGCGTCGATTCGAAGGGATCGGAAGGGGTTACTATGGAAAATGACAGCCCAACTGAGGGAGGGGCAGCTACTAGTAATGGATTGGTCAAAAATTTACTTTACGTCTAAGGATTTTACTTAAATATTGCCGATTTATAAATATATTAATAAATATTATGCAACTTTAACTGTAATCAAAAACATACATTAAATTAAAATTTAATTTAATTTTAAGTTAATGGAAGAAGAATGGATAAAAGAGGTCACATTTTGCTGAATTTCGAAAATGTTAAGATCAGAATTTTGTGAGGTGTACAGCGCATAAACTTTCTAGTGACCCACTAACCCGATTTCCGAGTTAAGTCTGTCCTTAATATAAATCTTGCATATGGGATTCACTTTTATTGAGCTCCCTTTTATGACCTTTTTCTCACCAGATCTTTTTCGCATTCTTCGTTTATTAATCACCATAAATTGCACTTTCAACTTTCTTATTTCACGGACTGTTATTTACTTTTGTATTTCAGTTCACATCCCTTTTCGATCGCCGCTCAGTTCGATAATAATTTATGTGTGTTTATTAATTATAGACAGAATCTCTCGAGGGCGTTTTTCATTGTGCTACTAAATAAATTGCAAAGAGAATGGGGCATCTTGTGGCTTTTCTTTAAATTCCAATTCGCATTTTCCATTTTCAATTCATTTGCCAGACAGCAACGACTGCGCATAAGACACAGTTCTCTATGGCTATATGTTTATATACAGCGGGTAAACATGGGCACATAGTACCGGACATATACATAGCACACATATATGGAGTCCAGTCCATTGATTGCCTGCCGGTTCAGTTGGGAATCAGCTGGTCTGAGTTAGTTGTCCAATTGGAGCCCAGCAGAGTTCGGGAGGCATCGATCAATTGGATTCATATGACAAACTATGGAAATTGATTTGTTGCCGCGCTCATCTCTCGAGAGTCTTAAACTGACAGCTCCGGAATTCGCGGAGTGCTGAGTGCTCGAGTTGATTGAATTTTCCGACCGCGATCCTTGTGCCAAAAACGGCAGGTTTTGAATATCTGTCAGTGTTTTTATTGTTCTTTCGACTGGCTGCTGTAACTTGCTTGCCGTGTGCAAAGTTTCCGAGAAAACAAATCATCGGCTGTCTTTTCTTTGAACCAACAAACTGCATGTTTTAAAATTTTCGCAAAGATCTTTGGCAGCATTTAATGGAATTTATCTCAAGCATGTGCTACGATACATACTCGTATATTGGAAATGGAACAATTGTAATAATTAATGATTAATTCGAAAAGCTTGCGAGCGGGTCTAGGTCGACATCAATTCAAGTTGGCAGTCATGTGTCAAAATTTGAATAATCAAAAGTGAAAAACATTTGAATTAATCCAGAGCAAACTTAATTTGTCAATGATCCATGACATCTTCTAGGGAAGACTTTCTTGTTTGTTTATGCTAAATGTTTGTTGTTTTAATATATTTAAATTAAAAACTCTCACATTAAGTTCCGCATTAATTACATTATTAAATCATCATTGAAAGTGCTAATCCATCAGGAGAACCAACAATATTTACATTCTGTTTAAGCCCCCTTTCGGATGGGTTAAAAATAAACACAGCTATTAAATAAAGCAAAAGTGTAGTATAATGATTGACATTGGTAGTGACACATTACTCCATTTTCGGACGATGTTGCTCTTGATAAGCTTTTCAATCTGTTGTCATTTTTTAGAGTTTATGTGCCAAACGTGATTACAATAAATTGGCATAATGTAACCTTCATTCGGGTTAAACAAACGGAATGTTTTTCGTTTCACTTTTTTTATCACACAATTTTGACGCTTTTTATTGTCTGTTTTTTAGGCCCATTCAACCTGCTACACCGATGAATAGTATAAATAAATGTATTTTTTTCCGAGGTGCACAGCAAACAGAGGGGGAATTAGTTTAAACATGTGTTGGCATCTCAATTGGAACTCATTACGGAATGTAAAATTAATGATTAGTTTGCTTTGGGAAACTCTAATTAATTGTTGCATTATTTCTAAATTGTTTCAGACGCGAGTGCAGATCCACGTGTCCCTTAATGAATGGAAACAATATATCTCAAGCACCTTAGAAGTATCAGCTCAATCAGAGCCAGCTTATCTATGCGAATAAATCACACTAATCGAAGCAATTATCAAAAAATTCAACAACTTGTGTGGATTATAAACGGATGTTTTTAAAATTGAATTCACTTCGGCGCCAGGGAAATTCATTTCTAGACACGCTCATTGCTGGGCAAACCTATAAGTAAATATCTTACAGATTATTTCCAAAATTTCAGCTCAGAAAAGGCAAAAATATAACAAAAAACACTTTATTTATTGCCATTAAGAAAGTTTAAGATAATTCTATAAGAACATTCTATTTAGTTTGGATTTGTACATTTTTATTTTTTACAAACTTTAATAAAACACAGAAAAAGAAACCCAACATTTCCCGTTTCCATTTGCCAAGTCGAAAAAGTTTATAATCATTTTGGTAAAATATATTTGAATAGCATTGCCATAAAAAATTGATTTGCATTATAATATTGATTAAAATATCATTTCTCTGAATCAAAGCACTTTAAGGCTGATCATTGAATATATTAATTTATTATATAAATAGCAAATACGAGCCAAGAAAAAAACACAAAAGTTTCCGTTTAAATTACCCTTGAAATTTATTTAATGTCCCTAACCATAATATTGATTAGGAATCACTTTTTAGAACATTTTCGCCTGTTTCGACACACTTTAAAACGAATCGTTAATAACTTCTCAAGGGAATGCGTAAAATTGGATTTCAACTTACTTCGTCAGCTGGGCGAGACTGAATTTACGCTCCGCGTCGGATTTTCGCAGGAAGTGTCCGAATCCGCGGAAGGAAAGGCGGGAACTGCGGCGATTCTCGCCACTTTCTCCTGGAGCCTTGGGCTGCAGGTGATTCTCGTTGCTGGACGGTGGTTGTGGATGGGCTCCATCCTGATCGGCGTTAGCTGATCCGGACTCACCATCGTATCCGGCATTCGCGGTGCCGTTGACCTTTGAGATCTGGAAGCGATCGGCCATTGTGTGGTCCGGGGACTCCCTGCGATTCACTAATAACTGGATACCGAATGCGGTTTCTTATCGATTACACGAACACTTTGGGCCAATGTCAACGAGCCGGGCACATTTGCATGGTACACACACGTCAGTATAAGGACACCCAACTGGGAGTGGATGATATCACAAGGAGCGCGAAAATCAAGGACGCGTAATTATACGTCCGACTGCGTTTAGCCCTTAACGCCGATTGTCCGAATATTTTGAACGCGTTTACCACTTCGGGTTTTTCGGTTTCGTGTATGTTTTTAAATTCAATATTTTAATATTTCGCGGAGAGCATCGGATGACGATTTATCCGTCGCGGCAATTACAACTTATCGCGCCGACTGTCGCACGGCGTTTGAGCGTTGTCAAGTGTTTACCGCCTGATTATTATGGCTTTTTGCGCCAGTCAGCTGCTCTGCTGCTCCGCTGCTTCCGCTGTGCCTCGGATTTGGCAGCGGCTGGCTTTAGTACCAACTCGACGCTAGTGTGGTGAGTTTCCAACAAGTGTGCGGGGCCGAACTCAACACGGCAGTGCTCTCGCTACAGAGCACCCACCCGGGGAAGAACAATTCTCCAGGAGGTCTGGACTACGGGATACCCGCTCATAAGAGGCGCCCATTACGCGTATACGTGATATTGGAATGCATATGTGCATATTACGCATACGTTTAGCGCTGATAGTGGTGGATATGCATAGTTCAGGCTATTTGATATGACCATCAATGGAATAAATTTACATATTGTTATGAATTAGATTCCAATGATTCCATAAGAGTGTGTTTTGAATTAATCTTAATAACACTTTGAATTTGTAGTTCTCTGTTTAGATTTTACTTTTTCATTTATTCTTACTCTTAAATTTAAAAATAGTTCTTTTGTATAGAAACTGTTTGATTTCGATATAAATTTAGATTAGTCACTGCCTATTAAGTCAGTTCGATTCAACCAAAATGTGTTTGATCTTATTTAAGTAAACATAATGGGCCAAAATGAACACATTTAAGCGAAGTCTCCATATCATTTCTTAATTTGACTTGCTTGCAAACTTAAAATTCTTCTTAGCAAGAATAAATTGTGTACTCTTGATTAAAACTCATAATAATGATGTTGCCCTATTTTAATGTTGTTGTTGCCGCCAACACAAACGAGATTAGCAAGTTAGTTGCCTATAATAAGAGGCACGTTACTGAGTCAGGGGAATCTTTGAGGTAATTTTTAAGGCAAAGCAAAAGGTGTAGTTTAATCTTCTTTAAATTATTTTTCTCGACAGATCTATTATGTTTGTTCTGACACAGTTGCTTTATACATTTATTACTCAATGACTTTACCTAACATATTCAGTTCGTTATTGCTATTGTTGTAATCCTTGCGAACTTTATAATTTTTCAAAATATTTAAATAGTTTTGTTTAAACAATAAATTTATATTATTGTTGCCAAAGGATTACATTATGATTTCTAGCTCATTCATTCAGCAGGTTTTTGAATAAAACATGAAACACTAAAGTCCAAACATACTAAATATTTGCTTTGGCATTGGTCAAAAATTAAGATCAATTTGACCACTATCAGATATTATATGAGTAAATACCAACATTTCGGATTAGTAATATTCCTTTGGGAAGTTTTGGTGTTTCCTTCCTTTTTAGTTTAAAGTGCCGATTATTGATTATTGTTGATGATCACTGGCTGGCGCAAAGTCTATGTCACTTGAAGGTCCTTTGAAGGGCCAGATGAACTCATCAGAAGGTGTTATCTTCGCTCGATAAAACACCATTTTGTCGCATTGGAAAAAGAATTTAGCGCCTTAACACGTTCTCTGTGGCCACGATTGCGGTTATTAGCTCGTTTCGTTTGTTTACCCAATTCATAACAATCCCCGACTCTCCACGCTCATTCACAACCATTCGCACACTAAAACTTAGACACCTCGTAACATCTTTACTATCGGCCAAGTTAAGTCAAGTCGAGCCAAGACGAGAGCAGTAACAACGGTCGGGCGAGAGCGCGTGAATAAACCCCCTTAATCGAATTAAATTCGGTTTTATCTGGTTTGATTGGCTGGATGGTCGGATTGTTGGATCGTTGGATGGCGGGTTGACTGAGTGGTTGAGTGGCTGGTCGGGCTGCACTTGGCTCTGCGTCACAGAGCCACCCGAGGTGGATTCAATGGAGAGCGGAACGAGGGGAAAATGGTTATTTTTAATAAACCAAATTAAGGTTCTTTTTGCTCTGATCGGGAGAGTCCAGATGATGAGTTCTGTCCAGTAGAAGGTACACCCATCTGGGGGATCTTTCCAGGGCTCACCTCATTCTGATGGAATTCACAGTCAAGTGACCTCTTTGCCAAAGACATTTGTTAGCTTGTTTGTGTCTTAGCTTTGCAGAAAAGACACTCTAGTAATTTAATCAAATGATTAGCATACATTTTATACTTCATTTTAAATATGCGCTGTTGATAACGACCCTTCTGTATACTCGTATATATATATTTATGATTATCGTTTATATTAAATTTACAACTCCCAATGCGGTTTGGTAATTCAGAACATCTAATCTTTATGAGCCATATTTTCTGATTCATTCTGTTTTTCTGCGGGCAGGGAGAAACCTTAAAAATTCGAAAACTAAGGCTGAATTTGTGGTTGAATTCAAAACTCACCACAGCCCGATCTCACCTTAATCTTTAATGATTATTGTTATTAACGATCATTTAAATTCAGCTAAGACGTAACCCGCAATCAATTAAACTTACATAAGTTAAGTTAAACAAAAGCTTGGCATGGGTAAGGGTAATAAATGACTTATGACTTTTCATTTTTGATAACGTTATTAACAAATTACTAATTACCGAAATGTTTTATAACTTTGCAGGCCATAATTCGATATATTTTTCAGCGAAACTGATTTTTATTCCTTTACGATATATTTTTCACACGTCTCCCCATTTCGATCGCCTCGTTTATTAAAGTTTATTGTTCGGATCTTTAGTACTTTGTGATCGAGAATTTGTTTACTGTTTCCAATGATATAAATTGAATTTCTTTTTATTCGTTCCTGTATTTGAAGCACCATAAAACCCGCTGGCGAATCCGGAGCGTACACAGAGAATAAACAATATAAATATAAACCAAATAAATGAAACATATATAATATTATCCGGCTGGTTGGCCGTGTGAAATATCGTCAAAGTCATAGTTTATTTTTGCAGTCATATTTGCAAGTTGTTTACCTTTTCAATCTCTCAATATCTGTCTTGTAAACTTGAATTTCCTTCGGGGAATCTTTCTAAAATTAGTTTCATTTGTTTATATTTGCGAATATAAAACTGTAGTGAGCGGTTAATCTTGTGTTTCTTTATTTTTGGTTTATTTTTATAGTACTGGCAATCAAACAGGCCAATTAACCGCAAATTAAACTTAATTTGTTTTCGACTTTTGGTAAATATGTTTTCGGTTGACTATTATTTTGGGGAATATTTTGATTGTTTTCTAGTATTTTGTAGCTTACTAAGGCTAGGTTTTTGCCATGGGTGACATCTACCCTTAACCAGTTACAAGCGGATTTAGTTAACCCTCAACTGCGCTCATTAACACCTCCCCAGTCCGCTTGTATTTGGACTACGGACGAATTCTGTCTAATTGATCGAATAAACTTCGTGAGGCACAGATAAATTTATTGTTTTACAGCTAAAATTAAATAACCAGGTTGTATAACAATATCTCGACACTAATTAATTTCAACCTAATGGGAGTCGTGTAGCCGATTACATCGTCCGACAACGATAACGACTCCCCAATGACAGTGGATCCAGTCTTAGGGGGTTCTTATTGGGTCGAAGACAAAGTGACCATGTGCTATCGCCTCGTCGCCAGTGACATTATTTGACACTCGATTATTAATTGAATTAACTGCTTGATACCACTTCTTGAATGTCCAAACAAATCGACAATAATCTAGATTTGATCGCTTGTTACTGGGTTTCCAAATACCTGTCCTTGGCGTCGTCAATTGTTTTTGATCGCCTTACAATATTGGACTTGTGTCGATAAAGCTACTCGTTGCTGGCTAAGTGTTAAGTGTTTGGATCAATATAGGTACTATATCTATATCTGCTTACGTAACGATGGTACACCGATTGGTTCGTTTAATAAAGATAAGTTTTTCTGAAAAATTTTTCAATTTTATTTCAGATTTCATTGAGTTTCTTCTAAAAAATCAGACCGAAAAACAGATCAGCTTGGACTTCTGCAGTTTGTAAATTTTTGCGGGCAACTTTTCTTTTCGGCTTGTAAAACTGATTGCCCATTTATTTAGACATTGTTTGTGCCCCATTTTACAAATTATAAAATAACGTGTCCTTCCTTAGTTATACAATGTAATTGTTTATTGCCTAATGATAAAAAGTTAAAGCTAAAGTTAAAATGAAAGCTAACGTTAAAATGATAAAGTTAAAGTTAAAGTTACTAGCACTTTAGACGTCTGAATATTAACTATTGTAAAAAAAGACAAATAGGAATAACCTTTAATTTTAAGGCAATTGATTAAATTGGTACAATAGGAGGAGTACACAGTTTCGCTTATATAAACTAAACTAAAAGTTTATATAAATAAAAGTTTATATAATCTTCGTGTAAGGCAAGATCAAATGGTTTTACTCAGGAGAGATTAACACAAGCCTGTGAGAAATGCAATGCATTATGAACGTCATCTCACCTCAAATATTTATATTTGCTTTTTTCTTTATTATTTCCTGGGTTTTTAGGAGTTTCCTAGTAAATTAGTGCACTAGTCAACAAAACATATATATATTTAACATTAAATATAGTTTCAATAAAAAAAAAGATCATGAATCGACACACAACTCTTTCCAAAGCATTAATAATAAGTTATTAGTTGGTATTGCAGAGTTCACTCCCGGTTGATGGATACTCCCGTAGGAAAGCTACTCCTTGGAGTAGTAGTACAAATTACAATTCATTTGAATTCCGATCGAGAGAGCGTTGTCATCATCTTCACCAGCTCAGCTCGGCTCCGTCATGGCAAGGCAGTAATGAAAGGCGGCAATAAAAGGCAGACCCGAACCGCTTCGTGGCAGTATCAACTTGTTCAGCGCCAGCAAGTCTCATTGCATCGGGCTGTGTGTCTGGAGTCAAGTGCTTGCGATCGGGAAGCGGGGCAAGTGAGACAATTGATGGTAGGCACACAGTCACGCATCCCCACTCGGATGCCAAATCATTTGCAATCAAATTTTTAATGGTTATAATTACACGAATTTAATAAAACTCATCCTCATTGCTGGGCGACAGCTTGGAACGCTCAGATTCGATGGGTTGTGCAATATCCATTCATCACATCAAAGTTCAGCGATAACGTCTGGCTACTTTCTCAAGAACGAGGA